CAAAGGAAGAGAAGATTTGCCCTGTTTTCTAGATGTTTCTGCACCAATGCAGCCCCCAGCCCCACCTCAGCAGACAGCTGTGGAGCCCTAGCCCCTGGAGAACACCTTTGGAGGCTGATCCTCCCAGCTGGCCGGAACTGCCCACACACCTGGTGCTCATTCTGGAGGAAGCCCGGGCCAGGCCTGTAATTCCACACTGATTACCGGCCATGCCTGTGGCTTTGGATGTCGGGCCAGGAAATTGGGAAGGAACAGGATTGCAGAATTGGTGAAAGGAAATGGGGGTGGGGAGCAGTGTGGACAGATCTCCAGGGAGTGAGCTCTAAGTTCTGTCCCACATAGATGTACACCAGTGAGGACCTCAGCACGAGAGGCATTTTGAGATGACACTTGCTTTCATTGTTGGGGTGTTGGGGTGAGCAGCGCTTGCCACAGAGCACGTGTGGAGGTCAGAGGCCACTTGCAGGAGTCTGTTCTCTCCTTCCACCATGGGGTCCCAGGGATCAAACTCAGGCTGTCAGGGTTGGCAACAAGCCGTGTCAGCTGCTGAGCCAGCTCAGGAGAACTTCCTATTCCAGTGGGGAGATGCCCTGTCCTGTAGGAAGTCAGCCTCCCAGACATCCCTATCGTTGTCCAAGGTGCCCATGAGTACGGTGGCAGAGATGGAGGCTATGCATGGGCTCAGCAGCCTGGATGACAGGCTGTGACTGTGGCTGAGTGCTGGGTCAGCCTGCCCAGAGGGCATCAGTGTCCTGCTCTGTGACTCTCCAGGGTGGTTTTTCTCAGTGAGGTGGCAGCCGTCAGCTCCACAGGCCCTGCCGCCCGTGCCTCCGGAAGCATCAAGGTCGCAGGTGTGTGTGACCATGTCCAGCTTTAACGGTATTTAATTAGGAACATAATCTCACTGTGTAGCTGGAACTTGCTGTGTAGACCGGGCTGGTCAAACAAAAATCCACCTATCAGTGCCCCCACACTCAGATTAAAGGTGTGCACCACCACGCCCCACCTGGATCTTACTCGTTTGCTTGCTTGCTTGTTTTAATGTGTGTGCCAGGGATTTGAATGCGGGTCCTCGACTCGCACATGCTTTCACCCACTCCCCACCTCCCCAGCTTCCGGAATGGACTTTTATTGACCCCAGACAATGGTGGCCTAGGGGCTGGGGCAGGCTCCTCCAGAGCGCTGTAAGTCAGTGTGTTTTGTTTAGTTACTTTAGTGTATGTGTGTACATGCATGTGCATAACAGGATTCAACTTCAGGAATCAAGCCTGTTGACCCTCAAGTGTTTTACTTACGAGCTCGAGTCTGTGTACGTGAGTGCAGTGCCCTCAGAGTCCAGAAGAGGGCGCCAGGTCCCCAAGAGCTGGAGGTGCTTGCAGTGGCATCCTGCCCAACACCAGCAGGAAGTGCCCTGAGCCATCTATCTCTTTGGCCCCACCTTGGTTTTGAGTTGAGGTCTCTCTGGGAATCTGAACCCACCAATTTATCTAGACCGTTTGGCCAGCCAGGTGACGAAAGCCTCCTGTTCCACCAGCAACAAAGGTACAGGCATGTGCCACCACACCCGGCTTTTTATGAGGGTGCTTGGAGACCAAGCTCAGGTCCTGGTACTTTATACCCCACGTGGTCTGGCCCGCTCCTCCTCATTCCAGTTTCTTCTGTCTCATAGGAACTGGGGCACCTGGAGAAGGAAGGTGTGGGGGTTTGAACGAGGAGTGTCCCACATAGACTTGTGTCTTTCAAAGCCAGTCCCCATTTGGTGGCACTGTGTGGGGAGATTATGGACCTTTATTTTTCGAGACAGGGTCTCTGTGTAGCCTTGGCTGTCCTGGCACTCGCTCCGCAGACCAGGCTGAGGCGGAGTCTGCTGAGGCAGTGGGTCACACAGACTTTGAGGGTCTGTAGTCTCTGACTACTCTTCTCTCCTTTTCTCCTTTTTTTTTTCTTTTTTTCTTTTTTGTTTTGGTTTTTCGAGACAGGGTTTCTCTGTGGCTTTGGAGGCTGTCCTGGAACTCGCTTGGTAGTCTAGGCTGGTCTCGAACTTACAGAGATCCGCCTGCCTCTGCCTCCCGAGTGCTGGGATTAAAGGCGTGCGCCACCAACGCCCGGCTCTTCTCTCCTTTTGCTTCCTGCAAGTGTGCAAAAGTGTGATCAGTCAGGTGTGGTGCGCACACCTGTAATCCCAGCACTTGGGAGCAGAGGCAGTGGGATGTGTTGGGGAAGTCTTATGTCAATAAAGTACTGTCTGGCCTATAGGGAATCTAGATGGGAGGGACTAGGAGTCCAGGAGAACTCTGGGAAGGAGAAACACAAGAGGTTCGAGATGTACCGCCATTGGGGTAGGAAGCCCGGAAACCTCTCCGGTAAGAGACATACTTAGATTAACAATTATGGGGTAATTACTTAAGTCAGAGCTAGCCAGTAAGAAACAAGCAAGGCCAACAGCTTCATAATTAATACAGCGTCTTGTGTGTTTATTTGGGGACTACAATGTGGCAGAGCCCAGGCGGCTGGCAGGGGATAAACCAAAGCGGCTAGCAAGAAAAAGCTTCTCGTAACAGGGATGTCTGTGAGTTCCAGGCCAGCGCGGTCTACAGGGTGAGGTCTAGGCCAGTCTTTAATGAGACCCTGTCTAAAAAAAAGTGGGGTGTTTCTATCACCATGGTGAATGTCTAACATGAGCAACTCCTTTTTTGTTTGATTTTTCGAGACAGGGTTTCTCTGTGGCTTTGGAGGCTGTCCTGGAACTCGCTCTGTAGACCGGGCTGACTCCTTTTGGTTCACGTATTCCGAGGTTTCTCTCTATGGTCATGTGACCCTGTGACTTTGGAACTGGGGTGCATGGTAACTGGGGTGCATGGTAACTGGGGTGCATGCTAACTGGGGTGCATGGTAGAGCAAATTGATCACCTCACAGTGCCTGGGAAGCCAAGAAAAACAGGAAGGTAAGTCTCAGTGTCCCCTTCTAGGCTGTGTCTCTATGACTTCATCTCCTCCTGCGAGGCCCCACCCCTTCATATCATCGCCATCCCCCAAGACCACCACCCTGGGGACCAGGCTGTCAAGCTATATGGGTTTAGCTGATATCTAAAATTATTATTTGTTGGTTAAGTGACCTGGTCTCCTGTCTACAGATGCTGAGCCAGCAAGCAGTCTTACTCATACTGTCACTTAGGGGGCAGAGGCCATGGACCCTCGATACCAAGGCAGCATCACAGAAGTCAGGCCTGAACAGTGCTCTGACCACGCCCCTGGCCTGGGCTCTCTAAGAGGGATCTCGTCAGCTCTCAGGGAGCCTCTCCGTTCCCTGGGCCCTGCGTTACCCAGCTTTACCACCAAGCCCTGCTTCTTCTGTGGGTGCTTTGGGATCCAAACTCAGGTCATCTCCCGGCCCCCACCTTTTTCTTGTGACCAGGTCTCATCGTGTAGCCCAGGCTGGCCTAGAGCTGAGTCTCTCTGCCTTAGCCTCCAAACAGCTGAGGTGACAGTCACGGCACTGCTCCCGCCCCCAGCTCCAGGCAAGTTTCCTCCCCAGAAAACCAGACAAAGTCTAATGGTGGTGGCACATGCCTTTAACCGGAGAGGCAGGGGCTGTTACACAGAGAAACCCTGTCTTGAAAAACAAGAAAGAGAAAACCTACATAATAATCATCTTGGCTGTATAATATTCCAAATCTGCCAATGCACTGAACCATAGTAGAGGTGGCTAGCCTGGACGTGTGTGTGTGTGTGTGTGTGTGTGTGTGTGTGTGGTGTGTGTGTGAGTGTGTGAGTGTGTCTGTTGTGCGTGTGTGGTATTTGTATATGCACATGTATGCATATGTATGAATATTATGTGTATATTATATTTATATATTTATTTAATATATAATGTGTATTATAATGGTTTAAAAACTTTTACAACCCTAGTGAACTTGAAATAGCACCAGGCATGGTACTCAATCCCAATTCCACACACAAGTACACGCATGTGAACACACAATTCTACTTACAAACCTATGGCCAGCCATGGTGGCACACACTTCTAATCCCAGCCATCAGGAGCCAGAGCCAAGAGAGCTCAAATTTCAGACCAGTGCAGGTGCAGGTTTCACACTCTCGCCTGTGCAACAGTGGAAACAACGAAATGGCCAGCAACAGGGCTCGGTAACTAAAGGGGGCTTGCTGCCAAGCCCAGCAATGTGAGCTTCCAGGACCCACATGGGGGAGGAGAGAACTGATTCCTGCAAGCTGACCTCTGACCTCCAGGCACTCACCGTGACACATGTGCCCCCCAAATAAGTACAAGATGAAAGAAAGGAGGAGGTAGCAGCTAGCGTGGCTCTGATCCTGGCACGGAACTTCACTGACCAGTTGAGCGTGGATTCCTGACAGCCGTGCTCCATCCGCAGCCAGTGTGATCTCTTGGCAATGGCTTGTTGCAACCGTGCCTTGCTTGTTATAGGGTTCAAGGGCCCCCAACACCCCACAGTGGGCAGTGTGCTGACCGCTTGCTGCACAGACCAGTGGCCCGTGGGGGACATTTGGGCATTTGGGGGTTGTGTCCATCTTAATAGTTCACTCAGTGTTCAAACAGAAAAAGGGAGGCCGTGCTGGTGACACCCAGGACAAGCTCTTGTGCCTCCATCTCAGAGTCTCTGCCTGTATCTCTGTTTCTTTTTTCTTTTTTCTTTTTTTTTCTAGACAAGGTTTCTCTGTGTATCCCTAGCTGTCCTGGAACTCACTCTGTAGTCCAGGCTGGGCTGGCCTCGAACTCACAGAGATCTTCCTGCCTCTGTCTCCTAAGTGCTGGGATTAAAGGTGCGCACCACACACACAGACACAGACACACACACAAACACACAGACAGACACACAGACACACAGACATACAGACACACACAGACACACACACAAACACAGACACACACAGACAGACACAGACACACAGATACACACACACAGACACAGACACACAGTCACACACACAGTCACACACACACAGACACACAGAGACACACACACACACACACACACACACACACACACATACCATGCCTCTCTGTTTCTGTCTCTCTTTTCTCTCTCCGTCCTGCTGTACTCCGGGAGACTGGCGTGCTGTGGTCCTCTTGGTGATTTAGCCCATTCCCCATGCCCAGCTCCAGCCTTACTCTTTCCCGCCGCTCTGGAAGTTCTTCTTCCCCGCTTTCCAGGTCTGGACAAACAGCGCTTTTCTCTCAGCTGAAAGAGGTCCCTGGAGCACAGAAGCCCAGACCTCCTCCCAGCTGCCTGTGGCTTCCTGGCAGAGGCACCCTGGCTGTGCTGAGGCTAGGGTGGACCCTGGAGACACACCCTCCCTTCCTAGGACTAGCAGCCACTGAGAGTCTCCCTCAAGGTGCCCGTTGTTGGCGGACCACACCCGGCTGCCTGAGGTGTTTAGAAACTGCTCTGAGAGGCTTCTTTGAACACGATGGTGGGCTCAGCAGCCGGGGCCACCTGCACTTAAAAACCGCTGTGGCTTTACTGGGGATGTGCTGGGATGGCTTTCAGCTTGGCCTCAAAGGCCCGCTTCCCACAGAGGCTCAAAGCTTCCATTCACGGTGACAGTGGCCCCTTTCCATTCCAGGCCTCCACTGGGAGGTGCCTTTAGCTGGCGTTTCACTGTAGACAGTGAAGGGTAGGAAATTAAATGCCATGTCCCCCGGCACTTGGAGGTGGCCATCACTCGTCCGGGTTGAATGGAGATGGCTGTGGGCTGTGTGTCTGTGTCTTTCTGTCTGGCTGCATATTTAGTATGAGGTTGAAATGATCTGGTTCCTCTGGACTCCACCTCTCAGATGCTAGGATGGAAAGTGACCAAGTCCACGCTTCCCACTCGGACAGCACGCAAGACGCGTCAACAATAGAAAGAGCAGGGCCAGTGTTTGTTGAATGAAGAAGCAATTCAAAATGTATCAGCCGGCTCGTCTGTTTCTCCTGGCCACTTTCCAGTCAGGGGAACTTAGGGGAGGACTGGATGGATGCGAGAGAGGCTTGGAGGGCAGGTCAGGTCCCAGTGGCTGGCAGGGAAGTCTGCAGTGTGACTAGGCCTTTCCACTCTCCAGTCTAACTCTGGGCCCCTGATGGCCATAAAATCACTCTGCTTAGACTGGCAACATTTTCCTTTAATATGTTCCTGAAGGCTCTGGCAGGACCTAGAGGAAAATTCCAGAGTAACAAGAAGAGAGCTCTTTCACATCTTGGGGACCAATAGGGGCGGGACCCAGGGGCACCCGGCAGCCCTGGGTCAGTGGTTCTCTGCCCATTGTCTGGTAGAGGGACAGACAGACCTCCCTGATGTCTGTGGTGTGGGGATGGCAGGCGGCCTGGCCTCTTCTCCACGGGAATTCATATAAAACTGCATCAAGGTGTTTCTACCAAGTGTGCGATGGAGCCTGGCACGTGTTACATGGCCTGCACATCTGTGGGGACACTCCCATCACCCCCAATCTCCCCCAGCTCAGAAACAATGCCTCCTTCTCTCTCCAGGTCTCCCCACGCCGGACCCTGGCTCAGCACTGCCTGTGGCCAGCTGACTCTTTCCTTCCTCCAGTCACAGAGCAGAGGACCCTCTTCATGACCTCCCATAGCTGCCTGTGCACCCCATCACCACTCAAACAAGCCTGCATTGGCTAAAGGTGAGGTTCTGGCTTTACGCTGCAGTGGGGGAAGTAGAAGTTGCTCTTCAAGCCACATCATTGGGTCAGGCACACCAAGTGGCCCCTGAGAAGACACCACCCTCCCTGGTGTGCTAGGCCTGACAGTACCATCTAAACCACATCTAAGTCAACGCCCATACAGGAACCATGGAGGCAGGGAGACAGAACTTTCTAGGCAGAGACGATGACAGCAGCTTGTGCAAAGGCCCTGGGGTCAGGAAGTGCGGCCGGCGGAGGTGAGCTCGCAGGACGGATGCATTCCTTGGTAAAAGGGAGCCAGAAAGGCTGTGTGAGCACAGGAGGAACATGGCCTAATTTGTTATCTTTTTCTGGTCTTGATCCTTGGACTTCTTCCTGTGTTTGCCTCCATGTGCCAGGTTTACAGTGGGAAGGGGGTCTGTCATCTCCCAGCTGGGGCTAGGGTGGGGTGCAGGGAGAACAAGAAGGAAGGTGTCTCAGGCGCCTCCTGAATCTTAGACAACTTGGGAAAGGAAATTCTGAGGGGCCCTAAACGCAGCCCACCCCCACCCGGAGCCAAATCACACTCCTGTCTGTGCAGGAGCTGCAGGTGTGGACTGAGTCAAGCCTCACCGACAAAGGCCTGGCTGGTGTCCGTTGTGGCGAGGCGGCAGAGGCTTGCCACGCTGACCTCTGACCTCCACACTGAAGGGAAGAGGCCTGTGCTTTCCTCATCCTGGATCTGTGTGTTGTAGCTGGATGCCAGGACCAAGTCTAAAACCCAGATGTGGCATCGGCTGAGACCCTGGGACAGTGGCAAGGTGGGCTGAGCTCGGAAGGTGCGGCCTCTGTGTGGTGCTGATGGCAGCCCCGTTGGTAGTAGAAACTTTCCCTGTTACTAGGCTGTGTTGTTGCCCGCTGAGACCCCAACCCTGAGAAAAACAGGCCCACCGCTGTCGGGGGAGGGTGGGGTGAGATGGGGGTGAGGAGGCCAGCAGATTAGAACCAAGCGTCAGCCACAACATCTTTGGGCTCTGCAGAGGCAAGCTACGTGTTTACCCAGGATCTCAAGGTGAAGTTTCAGCTGACCCCGGCACAACACAGTAAAATTTGAAATTGAATGTTTTTTAAAGATGTATTTATTTATTATGTATACAGTGTTCTGTCTGCATGTATGTCTGCACACCAGAAGAGAGCACCAGATCTCATTACAGATGGCGTGAGCCACCACGTGGTTGGGATTTGAACTCAGGATCCCTGGAAGAGCAGCCAGTGCTCTTTTTTCCCTTTCTTTCTTTTTGGTTTTTCCAGACAGGGTTTCTCTGTATTGTTTTGGAGGCTGTCCTGGAACTCGCTCTGTAGACCAGGCTGGCCTCGACCTCACAGAGATCCGCCTGCCTCTGCCTCCCGAGTGCTGGGATTAAAGGCGTGCGCCACCAACGCCCGGCTGCAGCCAGTGCTCTTAACCTCTGAGCCATCTCTCTAACCCTGAAGTTGAATGGTTTTACAATCATGCACTATAGTTTTTAAAATAATAATGAAATCATTATATATGTACACACACACACACACACACACACACACACACATGATAGTGGAACTCACAAACTTATCTCTCAGAGTGTTCAGCCCTAATGTCCTGACCTCTCTCGGCTTCTGTTTGCTGCCACCCTGGGCCTGGGGCATTGTGATTGGCACAATCTTGATGTTCCCTGTGGTCTGATGAGTCTTCAGCCTTTGGGAGCTCAGGGTGAGGGAGAGGAGCTCCTTGAATGCTGTTGGAGGCTGTGACAGCATGAGGGTGACATGGACACCATTCCCTGGTGCCTCTGCTGACCACCAGACATTTGGAAAGAACAGGCTCCCAGCAGGATGTTCCCTGGCACTCAAGGATGCCTGGCACCCAGTGGAGGTCAAGAAAGGAGTGGCCAAGGCCAGACCTGGAGCTGTGCCCAATGGCAGCCTTCCTGTGGCTGGGATGGTCACCTTTCCACAGGGCCAGTGTAGACAGAGGGGCCAGCCACAGGTGAGGCAACCAGCCTAGTTTGGTATCTGTGAGGATCACTGGCTAGAAATGACTGAGTTCCCAAAGGCCACATCACAGGGAGTCACTGACGCCGGCCCAGGTGAGGGTGACAGCGTGTGCCTAGTCCTCCCCTGCTCTAACCACACGTCTGTTCTGAACCCAACATTTCTCTTTGTTCCACACATCCCCCATCCACCCAGGCACCACCCAGGTGCTCGCCCACAGACATGTCCCTCCCGCCCACACACTTCCATCTCTTCCGTGCATGGCTGTGATGCCAGTGACGTGGCAGCCACTCCGACCCCAGTGCCATCCAGGTGATGACCAGGCAGAGTTGTGCTGGGCCTTGCTTAGGGTACAGTGAAGGCCAGCGGATGACAGCAGCAGTGAGAACAAGCCATTTGGGGGACCACGCCCCACGGTCACAGCCAGATGATGCCAGGGTGCAGGCTGGGAGGGCCTGTGGAGCCTGGGCCTGGCTCCCATAGCCACCCATCTCTCCTGCCCCATCCGTCAGCCTTCTGTAAATGGGTAGCCACTCATCTGCCTCAGACGCTGGCCTTTGCGTCTGTGGTGCCCTGGCTCGGAGCTCCCTGCTCCCCCGTGAAGGCTCAGGCCTCCTCGGCCCTGCATAGTGTACCTGGTTGGGTGACAACCATCGTGTGCATGGCCTCACATCCCCGCTCTGAGCTCACCATGAAGCGGCCCCTGCCGGCTGACATTTATTTGGCACCTTGCTGCCCAGCCCTATGGCAGCTTCCCTTCCGCAGGCCTGGGCCACTGCCAGGTGTAAACACAGCCGTCTCTGCTCCATTCATCACTCAGTGAACAAGGGCCCCACTGTGCCCGCATGAGGCGGACTGTGGTGTGCAGCAGGGGACTGAGGCCCTGGGCTCCCCTCTTCTGACTCCACACCCACTGTCCCCAGCCTACTGCAAAACCCCGGGGTAGGCTTTCTCTAGCGGCCCGTGTCTGTAGCGTGAGGCAGGGCAGCTTTCAGTGACCGAGGGAGGAGGCCAGCAGCCATAGCGTCTCTGAGGCAAGTCTCATGGAACTGGCTGGCCTCGAACTCCCTATCCTCCCTTCTCCCCTGCCAAGGGCTGCAGTGACAGGTATGTACTGTAGCTGGCTGCTGCGTAAACCAAGTTTCCCTGTGCAGCACAGATCACCTGGAAGGGGCCATCCTCCTGCCTCCACCCTCTCCGTGCTCCGTCATGCCTGGCGTAAGCGGTGCTCGGCATGGAGCCCAGGGCTTTGTGCAGCTACCCACTGAACTGCCACACCCTACCCACTGAGCCCCAGCCCCAGCCATTACAATTGTATTTTAATTTTAATCTGTATGCCCCCCCGACAGGGTTTCCCTGTGCAGCCCTGGCTGTCCTGGAGCCCGCTGTGTAGACCATGAACTCTTTACCATGAACACGCAAGGTTTCTCGTTGAGTTTTTTGAGGCAGAGACTCCGTGAGCAGCTGGGCTGGCCTGGAGCTGCATCCCCCTGCCTCAGTGTTCCCTGCACAGGACCATACGATGTACTTTCTAATATTTCCTCTGTGAAGTTTGTGTGAGTGGGAAACACACAGAGAATTACCTGAATGGATGTGTTTGATTCTTGCATTGATCCTAAAAGTGGGGCTCTTTCTTATACTCATGTGTGTGCACACATGTGCATGCTGGAGAGCCTGTGTGCGTGTATATATGAGTGTGCACACATGTGCATGCTGCTGAGCCTGTGTGCGTGTGTATATATGAGTGTGCACACATGTGCATGCTGCTGAGCCTGTGCGTGTGTATATATGTGAGTGTGCACACATGTGCATGCTGCTGAGCCTGTGTACGTGTGTATATGTGAGTGAGCACACATGTGCATACTGGTAAGCCTGTGCACGTGTGTATATGAGTGTGCACACACATGTGCATGCTGCTGAGCCTGTGCACGTGTGTGAACATGTGAGTGTGCACACATGTGCATGCTGGTAAGCCTGTGCACGTGTGTATATGAGTGTGCACACACATGTGCATACTGGTGAGCCTGTGCGCGTGTGTATATGTGAGTGTGCACACGTGTGCATGCTGGTAAGCCTGTGCATGTGTGTTAACATGTGAGTGTGCACACATGTGCATGCTGCTGAGCCTGTGCGCATGTGAACATGTGAGTGTGCACACATGTGCATGCTGCTGAGCCTGTGCACATGTGTGAACATGTGAGTGTGCACACATGTGCATGCTGCTGAGCCTGTGCGCATGTGAACATGTGAGTGTGCACACATGTGCATGCTGCTGAGCCTGTGTGTGTGTGCGTGTGTATACATGTGTGGTGTGGTGCTGCAGATAGAAGCTGACTACAGAGCCTGTGCTCATGGTGAAGGCTGCCCAGGCCCCCTGGCTTCCTGGCTGTGCTCGGTGCTTGGTCCCCATGAGCAAGAGGCAGAGCCTGAGGCCAGAGAGGCCTCACTCCCACGCACACTCCTTCGCCTCACTTTGGGAGGAACCAGGTGGAGTCTCGACTCACTTTCCCTGGAGAGCCAGGAGCACAAAGAGGTTGGAACAGGAGTCTCAGACCTAGGTTCTGACCAAAAGTCTCTGGTGCATTCCAGTCTGTTCCTGGAGAAGTTCAAGTCCTTGAAGCAATTCTTTGAGAGGTAAAAATATAGACTAAAATTTGAAATATGTGCACACCTCTAGTCTCCCCCTTACTCAGGAGGCAGAAGCAGGCAAATCTCTGAGTTCAAGGCCAGCCTGGTCTACAGAGCGAGTTCCAGGACAGACAGGGCTGCACAGAGAAACCCTGTCTCAAAAATCAAAATCCAGGTGAGGGCCAGCTCCGAAGGTAAAGGCTCCTGCTGAGAAGCCTGATGACTTGAATTTTTCTGACCTCTACATACGCTGTGTGGTGCACAGAATGATGCAGTGTGTGTGTGTGTGTGTGTGTGTGTGTGTGTGTGTGTGTGTGTGTGTACAATACTGACGGTGCCTGAGCCTTGCGGCTAGCTCCTGGATGCTTGGCGATCACTCAACAAAACTGTTTTAGTGTTGTCCTTAGTCTTAGGGAAGTCTGGGGGGAAAGTGTGGCAAAGAAGACACAGCCTGCTGAAGCCCTAGGCAGTCACGGTCTCAGACACCGGCTCCCTGACCCCTGCTCCTTATTTATGGAGTGTAGGTCTGACTGGGCTGTGGAAATGGCCAAGTGACCCTCCCCCTTGATGGATTCCCCAGACCCAGCCTGTGGCTGCGCCGCTGGCATACTTGGGCGGTGGCAGGCAGCCTGGGCGCCACATGTCTCCTAGCCCAGCAGGCTCAATCAGAAAGGGCCCCTGGGGCTCCATCAGCAGCCCCACCTGGCCCCAATCCTGGAACCACTCCGCCTGGATGTTGGGAAGGGCGACTGGCCCAGCATGAGTTCCAGAATGTTATAGCTATTGCCTGGCTGGGGCCAAAGCCTGGATTCATGAGGGAAGCCTGTGTGTGTGTGTGTGTGCATGCTGTGCATGGGTGGGTCTGGGGCCGTGTGGTGTTTGTGTATGTGTGTATGGGGCTGTGGGGGTTATGCATGTGTGGGGGTGAATAACTCCTGAGATCTGGGTGTGGGTATCAGGCTGGCTCATCTCTCCTTAAAGGAAAATATGAATAGACCCGGTCTCTGGCTGGGTACAGCATAGCCTGTGTTCTATCCCAGCGCTTTGGAAGTAGAAGCAGAAGAGCCAGAAGTTCAAAGACATTCTTGGACATAGTAAGTTGGAGGCTAGCCTGGGCTACAGGAGACCCTGTCTCAAGAATACAAAACCAACTAAGCTAACAAAACACCAAAAACAAAAAACCATTTGAAACATTCTCTGTTTCTCCCGTTGACCGTGTCTGCCTGAGTGGGTGTCGGCTGTCCTGGGAAGGGCAGAGGCTACACAGGTACAAGGACCCAGGATGACACCTAGAGAGTGAAGCCAGGGTGGTTAGGGAAGCTGCCTGGGAGAGGGTGTTTCCCCCGGGGGGGGGGGTGCCAGCAGGCAGGAGTGAGCCTAGGTTGCCCTCTGAACTCTCACCCTCCCCGCAGACCTGACTCTGTCTTCCCTAGGGGCCTGGCTGAGGCTGAAGCCACGCGGTCCTGAGCCACAGCCCCGTGCCTGACTTCGAAACCCGTTGGGCTGCCATGTGTTCTGCATCAGAGGCAGAAGGAACGCACGGTCTACCGGGCAGTGGTGGTTTCCTTGAGAATTCCATCGCTAGTCAGCAGGACCGGCCCCCAAGTATCCTGGGAGCCAAAGGAAACAGGAGGTGGCCCAGCCAGGCAGGGCGTGTGCGTGTGCGTGTGCGTGTGTGTGTGAGTTGGCTTCTCTGAACACGAGCACCTCCAACCTCCCTCTGAGGGCTGCTCTTTCCCTCATCCTCTATGCATCCCTATTGCCTTCCAAAGACAACTTGGGCTCAAGACACTGGCACTGCCCTTTCCTAGCTCACCCCAATCTGACACCCTGGGGCCACACTCAGGCCTGCTGAGGACCAACTGGTAAGCAGCTCCCTCTGAGTGACGGTGTAGCCTAGGCTACCTCTGACAGGCCGGGGACTGTTGTCTTGCTGTGTGCCCAACAGTAACCTAGCAGAGAATTTGACCCAGGACAGGCACATTTGTGTAACACATGAATGTACTCAGAGATCTAGACACACCCTCCAGTGTCTTCCTCTCTAGAGCCCCGCAACGCTCCTGCGCACGGATCTACCGCCCTTTTTAGTCTCGTCCTGTGCCGCCTCCTCCAGGCAGCCCTTCATGACTTCTTAACTTCTTGGAACAACAGATTTTCCTGGGACTCTGCCTTGGCTTGCCCTGGTCCCAGGAGGGTCAGGTCCCATTCCTGTACCCCAGCTTCTCTGTGAGTCCTGGGAGGCCGGGTAGAGAGGGTTAAAGTTCCTGGACACTGAGGCAGTTTGTAACTCAGTGTGTGGCTGGCCCAGGGAAGGAGTTTTCAGTTTTATAACCTGCTGTCTCCCTGGAGGCGGGGGAGTAAAGCCGGGTGCAGCTCACTGAGAAGAGAACCCTAGGAAAGTGGAGGTCCCCACCCCACCTCATGCCCAGCACCCGCACTGTGCAAAAGGGGAAACTGTCACAGACTCCATCCATTGGGGATTCTGTTTAGAGGTGCTGAGGCTGGAGTCCAGTACTTTATACCCTCACAGCGTCCACAGCCCCTGCTGACCCGGCCGAGCCACGCCCACAGCCCCCTTGGCAGGGATCTGAAATATGGAGGGAGTGTAGGAGCCAGAGTGGGTGGGTTCGGACCTTTGGATCACTTGTGACTTCACCAAATGTTACCCGAGAGGGGCCTGAAGATGTCTTGCATACGGCAGTGCGAGCGGGGAGCCCCACTTGACTTCCCGAGGCTCATCCCTCTCTCTCCTCAGACCCCACCATGGTCTGATCAGCCGCAGGTCATCCCGCGGGGCCGTGGGGCGCGGCCCTGAATGCAGAGCCCGGTCTGTTTACCTTGTGGCGGGCTCTGGGCAGGGCCTCGGGGGCTGTCCCGGGCCGGGCGCGGGAATAAATATGGCTCGAGCTGGGGCGCAGACAGCAGCAGCAGCAGCTCTGCCGCGATGGGCCCCACCGCCTGTGTTCTAGTGCTCGCCCTGGCTGCCATGCGCGCGACGGGACAGGGCCAGATTCCTCTGGGTAAAGCCGCTTAGTGGGGGACAAGGCTGGACAGGAGGCCCCTAGGTTTCCTCCAGGCTCGAGATTCTGCCTCCTCGGAGTTCGCTCTCCAGAGACGTACCCGGCTGAGAGATTAGGCGGCGGGTGGAGCTGGGGCAGCGGGGTGGATTTGGAGGCCCCGGAGGGGTGATGGGATGGTTGAGTCGCCCATCCGTGGCCCCTGCGGACGCAGGTGGAGACCTGGCCCCACAGATGCTGCGGGAACTTCAGGAGACCAACGCGGCGCTGCAGGACGTGCGGGAGCTGTTGCGACAGCAGGTAAGGGAGAGGGAGACTGTGGGGACAGAACAGGGACGGCGGGCGGAGAGCAGACAGGTGACAGAAAGGGCAGAGAGGGAGGCGGTGGGGGACCGAGAGACGGCGCGGGACAGAGCGCGGGGGCCGGACACGGGTCACAGCCGGGGAGACGGGGACCCGGCGAAAGGAGATAGAAAGGGGTGGTTAGGGGCCCCGGGCTTCCCAGGGAAGGGGGCGGGGGAGGAGGAGGGGAACCACAGGGAAGCGTCCCGTTGACCTCCTGCCGGACAGGTCAAGGAGATCACGTTCTTGAAGAATACGGTGATGGAGTGTGACGCGTGCGGTGAGCACAGCGGGGACCCCAGGGTCGGAGGGGGTAGGGAAACAGCGCAAAGGGCCGGGGAAGGAGGCTGGCGGGGGCAGCAGTGAACGGGGACGGAGCGGACTGGACGCCGGAGAGAAAGCCTGAGACAGGCGCCCAGAACCGGGACAGCGACGAGCCAGAGGACCGCGCAGCGGCAGAGCGCACGCGCGAGTATGCCGCGCCCAACAGAGGGGCGTGGTCAGGAACAGCTCCACCCTGGGCGGGGCAAGCTAGTCTTCTTGTGGGCACGGCCGTAAGGCTCCTCCCCTGGGTGTGGTTCTGGAGGCTCCTCCCTCTGAGCGTGGCCTAATTATCCGGCCTCCAAAGGGATGCAGCCCGCGCGCACTCCCGGCCTGAGCGTGCGGCCAGTTCCGCTCTGCGCACCCGGCTCCTGCTTCCCCGGCGTGGTCTGCACGGAGACGGCGAACGGCGCGCGCTGCGGCCCCTGCCCTCCCGGCTACACCGGCAACGGCTCGCACTGCACCGACGTTAATGAGGTGCGCGGGCTCCCCACACCCCCGCCGTCCTGACGCTACCCGGTCCGACTCCACCACAAACCCCCTCCTTCCCCACGACCCCCTTGTCCACCGAGGGTGCCCTCCTACCCCTAACCCCGGGCGCAAATTCAGAAGACCTCCCGTCTGCCGGGGGAGCCCCACTCAGGCCAACTCCACCACTGTCCCAGACACATGCCCTGACCACGCCTTCTGCTCCTACTGACGCCCACCCCGACGACCCCTTGAACGCTGGGGGTGGCTCTCCCCAACCGCCCTCCTCACCACTGGGGCTTCCTGGCCCCGACCACTCGTCTGCTTTGGAGAGTCGCCCTCCTCGAGCACCTGGCGATCTCCGCCGTGCCTGCACGTCCCGTCGGCCACTTCCTCGCTCGGCTGGGGATGCCCGTCCCCCAAGTTCATTTCCTCACTCCTAAAGGGTCACAGCCCCATGTCCATCCAGGCAAAGTCGTCTGCGACCCTCGGGGTCTCCAAGAGCTGGTTGACGGCCCTGGCTGCGAACCATTCGGGTCTGGTGGCTCACGCCTTTAACCCCGGCTCCCAGGAGGCAGAGGCAGGCCGATCTCTTTGAGTTCGAGGCCAGCCTGGTCTACATGGTGTGCTCCAGGGCAGCCAGGGCTATGCAGTGAGACCGTGTTTCCAATCAAACAGCAGCAGAAACAAACCATATCCCAATCCGGGAAGCTCCGAGGTGCGGCTCTCGCGATCCAGCCAGGGGCCCAAAATCTTATGTGCTCCTCTCTCACAGTGCAACGCTCACCCCTGCTTCCCGCGTGTGCGGTGCGTCAACACCAGCCCCGGCTTTCGCTGCGAAGCCTGTCCACCTGGGTACAGCGGCCCCACCCATGAGGGCGTGGGGCTAGCCTTCGCTAAGGCCAACAAACAGGTAAGGGAAACAGAAACCCGACGTTTATGACAGGAGGGAATGGAAGGCATTTTGTGCAGAAAACTCGAGCCGCGTCCTCGTTCCAGCGAGGGAGAAACTGAGGTCGGGGTGGAGACACAGGTTGCAAAGAGGCGTGGCCTGGGTGAAACGCGCGTTGTCTGCCCGTGATCTCCGTCCCCCAGGTTTGCACGGATATTAACGAGTGTGAGACCGGGCAGCACAATTGCGTCCCAAACTCCGTGTGCGTCAACACCCGGGTAAGGAAGGCGGGGCTGCGGAGAGTGGCGCGGCCGCGGCGCGGGTGGGTGCCGGGCTGACGGGCCGCGCCTGCGCACAGGGCTCCTTTCAGTGCGGCCCCTGCCAGCCGGGCTTCGTGGGTGACCAGGCATCAGGCTGCCGGCGGCGTGGGCAGCGTTTCTGCCCCGACGGGTCACCCAGCCCGTGCCATGAGAAAGCGGACTGCATCCTGGAGCGCGACGGCTCGCGGTCGTGCGTGGTGAGTGCGGCTCGCGGGCGGTGGAGGCGGGGGTCCCGCTCGGGCGTTCGTGGGCTTTGACACCGGCTGCCCTGCGCAGTGTGCCGTCGGCTGGGCCGGCAACGGGCTCCTATGCGGCCGCGACACGGACCTGGACGGTTTCCCGGACGAGAAGCTGCGATGCTCAGAGCGCCAGTGCCGAAAGGTGGGCGTGACCCGGAGGGCGCGGTCGGGAGGGCGTGGTGGGGCCAGATAGACACGCCCCTCACCCGCGTACCCGCTCCCAGGATAACTGCGTGACGGTGCCCAACTCGGGGCAGGAGGATGTGGACCGCGACGGCATCGGAGACGCGTGCGACCCGGACGCGGACGGGGATGGGATCCCCAACGAGCAGGCAAGGCTGTGGGAGGGTCCGTGGGTGGGGCTTGGAGGCGGCTCCGCCCCAAGGTCTAGTTGGCTGTCCAGCTTCCGGCGAAGGTGAGGGACCTCATGGAGATCCGCAGGTCTAGGAAGTTTTTGTGTGGCTTTTTTGTTGTTGTTTGTTTTGTTTTCTGAGACTGGGGTTTCTCTATGGCTTTGGAGCCCATCTTGGAACTAGCTCTTGTGGACCAGGCTGATTTCGAACTCACTGAGATCCACTTGCTTCTGCCTCCCCAGTGCTGGGATTAAAGGCGTGCACCCCCCCACGCGTGGTTTTTTTTCTTCTTCATTTGTGTGTGTGTGTGTTTTCCCGTGTGTGTGGATCAAAAGGGTACTTGCAGGAATTGGTTCTCTCCTTACACTGTAGGCTCCGGGGAAATTGAACTAAAGCTGTCAGCTTTAGTTCCTATCCCTCGGGCAGCCAATTGGGAAGCAATCTCTGTCCCTCCCCATCCTGGCCTGGCTTCACTCGTCCTGTTTTCTATCTAGGACAACTGCCCATTGGTTCGAAACCCAGACCAGCGCAACTCGGACAGCGATAAGTGGGGAGATGCCTGTGACAACTGCCGGTCCCAGAAGAATGATGACCAGAAAGACACAGACCGGGATGGCCAGGGCGATGCCTGCGATGACGACATTGATGGCGACCGTGAGCATGGCTGGGGAGTGGAGGGTGGGACCCATCTCCCAGAGGGCGTGCCTGAAGGCTCAGAATGGCGAATGCTGAGGGGAACATGGAGCCAGGGCTGGGGGACAGGAGGGCTGAGGGCTGGAAGGCCTCCCTGTGTATCCAGTTAGTATCCTGGGATGACTTGAACCTGATGCGCAGGCCTTGAGACAGGGTCTTACCATGTAGCCCAGGCTGTCCTAGAACTCAGTATATAGATCAGGCTGGCCTTGAGTTCTGGGAGATGTGCCTGCCTCTGCCTCTAGCAAACAGCCTTCTTATTACATCTTAATCCATCTGTTGTGTGTACATGCGTGTGTGTGCATGAGTGCACACACTGGAGGTCAGAGGGCAACCTGCATTGCGGGAGTAGGTTCTCTCTCACTGTATAGGTCCCAGGGATGAAGTTCAGGCCAGCCCTTTCGCCGCCTGTGTGTCCCAAGACTCCGTCTGTGTTGTCTGATGCCATCGTAGCCTGGCCCTTTCTTGTGATTCCCCCTTATTTCCCTGACATATCTCAGGGATAAGAAATGTAGCTGACAACTGTCCCAAGGTGCCGAACTCTGACCAGAGCGACAGGGATGGTGATGGTGTTGGGGATGCCTGTGACAACTGCCCCCAGAAAGACAACCCAGACCAGGTGGGCCACTTCCTATGTGAGCCTTAGGTTGGGGGGCAACCTGGAAGTGGGGATTGTTGAGGGGGGAGGACCTGGCTGTGGACTCTGGGGTGGGGACAGCTTCTGAGTCCTCAGCCCTGACTGTGACCACTGACCCCATTCCAGAGGGATGTGGATCACGACTTTGTGGGTGATGCCTGTGACAGCGACCAAGACCAGTAAGGAGCCCTGAGACGGTGGCGGCTGAGTGGTGCATGGCAGCCCCTCCTCCCGGGGTCCCACCGCCCACCTCTTCACTCTAGGGATGGTGACGGACACCAGGACTCCCGGGACAACTGCCCCACAGTGCCCAACAGTGCCCAGCAGGACTCGGACCATGATAGCAAGGGCGATGCTTGTGACGATGATGACGACAATGATGGAGTCCCTGACAACCTAGACAACTGCCGCCTGGTACCCAACTTGGGCCAGGAGGACAATGACAGTAAGGGCGGTGACGGCACGGTTATTAGCTGGTGTGTGGGTCTGGCCAGCAGCAGGTGTGGGCGTGGCTCGCAGCTGGCATAGGCTGTTGGGAGGGGCCGGAGCTGAGCGCACAGTATCAGCGTGTCCCACCTCCGTTCAGGGGATGGCGTGGGTGACGCGTGTCAGGATGACTTCGACGCTGACAAGGTCGTAGACAAGATCGACGTGTGCCCTGAGAACGCGGAGGTTACCCTCACCGACTTCAGGGCCTTCCAGACAGTGGTCCTGGACCCCGAGGGTGATGCGCAGATCGATCCCAACTGGGTGGTGCTCAACCAGGTGCGGCCAGGCCTGAGGCGGCGGTTTAAGGAGCCCAGCTGCCCCTCAGCACCGGCCTGAGACCCTGCCTTGTTCTTCCAACCTCCCCAGGGAATGGAGATCGTGCAGACCATGAACAGCGACCCTGGCCTAGCTGTGGGTGAGGAGGGGCTAGGCGAGGAGGGGCTATGGGGCGTGGCCACAGAGCAGGACCTGTCAGGCTTGTCTCTGGAAGGCTGGAGGAGAGGGGAGACAGAGATGAGGACAAATGGCAGGTTGCTGGAGTGGCCCTAGGCGTGGTAATGGAGGGGTAGAGGTCGGCTGGTCTGGGACCTGGGAAGGGGGGCCGGGGTGTGAGTGGGGCTTTGCAAAGGAGGTAGCCCTTGACAGCCGGTGGGATTCGGACATGCTTTAGGGGGCAGCCGCCATTTGGGGAGTGGGCTGGGAGCCAGCAGGGTTTGGGAGCCCCACTCCTCTCTCCTACAGGTTACACGGCCTTCAATGGCGTAGACTTTGAGGGCACATTCCATGTGAACACTGTCACTGATGATGACTACGCTGGTTTCATCTTCGGCTACCAAGACAGCTCGAGTTTCTACGTGGTCATGTGGAAACAGATGGAGCAGACCTATTGGCAAGCCAACCCCTTCCGGGCGGTGGCTGAGCCGGGAATCCAACTCAAGGTGCTGGCTGGGCTGTGCCCTCTGGTCCCTGTGCCCTACCCACACTACGCTCCGCCGGCCTCACCCCCAAAGCCTTCACAGCCTTCCAGACTGTCTCAGAGCCCACAAAGTTGTCACCACCCTTGATTCTGCCTCCCCCACCCCCAGCCACAGCCCAAATCTTCTCACAAGCACATAAATGCCCTACAGGATTGGGGAGAAGCCCCCTGGGTTGACGGGAACAGGAACATGGGGGCACCAGCATGAGGACTGTAGTTTGGACTCCCAGAGCCCTCATGAATGCTGGGTCTGCATGGTGGCTCACCTGTGATTCCAGCCTTGAAAGGTAGAGACAGGAGCCCCAGAGCAAGCTGCCTAGTGAGCCTAGCCACACCGGGGAGCTCCAGGCTTCATCGTAGACCCTGCCTTATAGGACAAGGTGGCAAACTATTGAGGATGACCCCAACAGCAGCTTCCATTCCTCATTTCCACGTGTGTACACCCACATACACGCAGAAACATGCACAGAGTAAAAAAATTAAAGACAGGCCCTGCCTCAAAAAAAAAAAAAAGTACTCCCTTAGGACCACCTCACGTGCCTTTCGGCTCCCAAACCTGTCAGAGCCCTAAATTTCCCTGGCCACCACATCTTCTCCTGCGGACACCTGCAACAGGTCCACAGGTTCTCAGATCCCGGCTTATCCCAGCAGACCTGGTAGATCCTCTAAGCTCTTGGGCTTCCCACATGTCCAGACTCCAGTCTCCTTACTACCTGCCCACTTGGGAGCCTTCTGTGTACCCACCACCCATAACCCCCATCTGCCCTAACTGGATGGGGCTCTGATGCTCTTCCTCCCCTCCCTCGGCCTGTGACAGGCTGTCAAGTCCTCTACAGGTCCTGGGGAACAGCTCCGGAATGCACTGTGGCACACGGGAGACACGGCGTCCCAGGTGCGGCTGCTTTGGAAGGACCCTCGAAACGTGGGCTGGAAAGATAAGACGTCCTACCGCTGGTTCCTGCAGCACCGGCCTCAAGTTGGCTACATCAGGTGCAGACTGCCTTGGGATGCCCTGCTTTGTCGCAGCTCTAGGAGAAATGGGCCATTTACAGTAGTACAGTGTGGGACTCTGGGCAGGCGGTCCTGACACACATTCTCACAGAGGGAAACTGAGGCAGGCTCCCGTCCCTGCCGTGACACCAGAGCTCTTGAGTGTGAACCAGCGAGGGAGAGAGGTAGAGGATGGGAATCTCACTTGACTGGTCCCACTCACAGGGTACGGTTCTATGAGGGTCCCGAGCTAGTGGCTGACAGCAACGTGCTGCTGGACACAGCCATGCGTGGTGGCCGCCTGGGTGTCTTCTGCTTCTCCCAAGAGAACATCATCTGGGCTAACCTGCGCTACCGCTGCAATGGTGAGCTAGGGGCCGGTGGGCCGTACCCAGAAGGCTCCAGAATGCGTTCTCACCTGTTGCCTCTCAATCTGCAGACACAATTCCCGAGGATTACGAGAGTCACCGGCTGCGGAGGGCCTAGGGACCGCAAGTGAGGTACCACTGGCCGACGGTCTGTGGTAGCCTGAGCTACAGGTGTCTGCGGGCCTGGCATCGTCCGGAGGGGAAAGGCTAATAAAGTATGAATGTGGGGGACTGACCGGCCCTGGTCTCTACTGTAGGGACTGTCCTCTGGTCACTCAGACAGCCAGGCGCATGCAACTCACTACAAAAGCTGACGCCCCTGGAGTACCCCAGGGTATGGTTAGATGGGTACCCCAAGTCTGAGGGACCCCAGCTGCTGAGTGAGTCAGTGGAGGTGTGCAAGGGTCACAGGAGAACAGGGGATCCAGGATGGGGGGAAAGGAGGGAGAGGCCCAGACGAAAACATTGGGTTTTTATTACATTTCATTACAAAGGGCGCAAAAGTACAAAGAAGCGTCTGCGCCAGAAGGTGGGGCGGGCGGCCGTGCATGCCCTGAGCAACCTGACCCCCAACTGTGGTGTCTGTGAGCAGTCCACAGACGTCCACAGCAGTGGAGTGCGCATGCGGGGGTCAGCAGCCTGGGCATCAGGAGGGGGCGTGGGACCAGCCGTTTGCATATATCAGAGGGGCTGCCAGCCTGTCATTCTGCTTCCTACTAAGGGGTGAGATGCTACCTGAGGACCAAAGCTGGCCTCTGGATTTAAGGCCACAGCTCTGTCCTCCAGTCCTCTATGTGATCAGAACCTGTTTGGCCAGCTGGGGTGGATTAGGCTGGAGATGGGGTAAGTCCCTACTCCATGTGCTGGGTCTCCAGCCCCGAGGAAGGCTGAGCACAGAACGTGCAGCTGGCAGTGTCACCGGCCCCGCCACTGTCCCCATCCTGCCCAGGGTTGGGCCCCTGAGCCCAGCAAGATTGAGATAGTCATGGAAGGGAAACTGAGGTTCAGGGGACCCCTTGCCCTTGGGAGTGCTCCAGCACCCAGGCCTGAGAGGGCACAGGCTCCTCCATCTTCTGCCCTGGCTGGGAGACGTGGCCATGACGAATGGGGTGGTGAGCAATTGTACCACAATGAGGGCCATGCCTGAGACAGGAATGATCATGGTTCCCAAGTCACTCACTAGGAGATCCCTGAAGGAAGTGGGGACCCCAGGAGTCAAGGAGAAGGGGGTATAAAAGGGCCAGCACCACCGCACAAGGCAGGCCTTGGGGTCTGTGAAAGACCATATGTTCCTCCAGTCGAGAACACACAGTGTAGACTCTGCACCACGGTGCCCTCACCTGGACACCTCCTGAGGGACAACAGCTGGGCCCAGGCTCAGCTACAGTACTGACTGACGCCGTGCCTATGCACATGGCTTCATCATGACCCTGATCTACCAGCAGCCCTGCCGCTGCAGCCCTGCCCCTGCAGCCCTGCCCCTGATCCAGCAGCCCCCCCACCTGCAGCCCTGCTGGGCACGGAGATCTCAGGGACATAGAAAATGCAGGCAGTGAACTGGCTCGCTGTGACAGTGGCCAGCATTGGCACACGGCGGCCACTCCCATACCTTTTGCCTGTTCTTGTGTGCCAGGGCTGTGACGCTGACACCAGGCAAGTGTGACAGCTGCCAGCCAGCCTTGCATGTGTGGAATGTGGGTCTCGCCAGGGGACTCCCTGTGTAAGGAGGTTAGGCTAAATATGCAATAATCTTTAGAGCCCTCCCTGGCACAGAACGGTCACCGGACAGTGTCGCAGAGAAGGAACAGGACAGGGCCTGTGGTTGGGGGACAAGCCACTTAGGACACAGTCTGGCTGGGTCCAGTTGCATCCCCAGTCTGGAGGCCTCTGGGTGGATAACCACTGCCCCAGGGGCTTAAAGGGGCATGGACCAGGCAGCTGCATGGCTGAGGCTCTGCTGAAGACGGTGGCACATGGGTGACATTAGGGGAGAAAGGCCAGGCGTCCAAAGCTGTCCCGAGAAAGCGTGGGTGTGGCGAGGGTCTATGCACATGTTGCAGGGACTCCGGGGTGCTTGTTTCCAGCACAGCTCATGGGTCACAGTAAGTGCATGCTACCACCTGGGAGTCCCCACAGCCATGACTGTCATCTTGGGATGTCCTGGCAATACTAGGCAGGTGACTGGCATCCAGAAAACAAAGGTCATCCCCCAGGAGTCCCCGACACTGGGCCTCTAGGTCCGGGGTGGGGGAGACTGAGCCCTTCCTGGGCATGCAGGCACCTAATCCCAGGCCCTGGCTGCGCTACGAGGACTGCCTAGGATGCTGGGCAGGGGCCCCATCACCTCAGCATGGAACTTGACAATGAACAGAGTCCTTTAATCACAGACACATGCACTCCTGGCTGTAGGGCACTGAAAACCAGGCCACAAGCCTAGGAGGGTCATGGGGCCATGCCCCCTAAGCCTGGCTCACGGGGTACTTGGAAGGCCAGCAACTGGTTGCTGGAAGCAGGGGTCTGGCCTGACAACTGCATCAGGCTCTCTGCTCTGCTAAGGCCATTTGCTCAGGCTTCTGTAACTCAGAATCAGTCTCCAAGCACGTGTGCTCTGTTTTGGCTTTTTCAGACAGGGTCTCACACAGTTCAGGCAGGCCTTGATTCCCCTGCCTCTACCTCTCCAGTGCTGGAGTGCGAGAGATGTGCACCCATGCATGTTTCCTATAGATGCCGATGGCCCTTCTATTCTCTAAGCCTGCACCACGTGAAAGGCCTGAGACCTGCACAGGTGAACTGGACAGACCAAGGCTATCCCCAAGTGCAGGGGCACAGGGAGGCATGGTGACAGAGGGGCAGCAACGTTCTCATGCAGGCAGCCACATAGTGGCTTGGGGAAGGTCACACACAGTTCCTGTGCCCCCAAGGCCCCAGAACGGGCAGCGGGCAACATCACTGAGAAACAATCAAATAAAAGGTGCAGCCTTGGCAGACAGGCATGTAACAGCGGCAAGCTATAACTTAGGGTGGTGGGATAACTTACAGGCTAAACGTTGCCCACAAAAGAAGTGAGGCCCATGGCCCCCATCACATGGAGTCCAGGTTCACAGCCCCCATGACAGGGAATCTCAGCATAGAGACCTGGTCACCAGCCACCTGCTGAGGTCTGGCTGGTACCCTGGGGATGCTCAGAGGGAGTAGGTTCTCGGAGGCCCCGAATGGAAGCCAAGGCCCGGTCCTATAGTCTGCTCTGCAGTTCTTAACAAACGCACTCAGTCAGGGCCTCACGTCCAGCCCCCTCCTTGCCCACCCAGATCTTCAGAGCTGAGACTAAATGCAGGTGAGTGGAGTCTGGGGTACAGTCAGGCAGCCTGGCTTACAGGCGCTTCAGGCTACAGTTCCAGTTAGCTTTTAAAAAAGGTCAAGGTGGGACTAGGGCTAACACATGCTTCCAGGCCAGAGAGGCTCAGGGTTCGGCCACCAAACGCTAATACAAACCCACAGAGTTGCTGTGGCCTGAGCCCACAGCCTAAGCAGCAGTAGGGACGGCCTGAAGGGTGGAAACGGGCAGGTGGCCGTGACCCCAATCTGCCCTGTACTGCGCACTGGGCGCTGCCTGGCAGGGGGCAAAGGTGCTTGAGAGGGGCTGAGGGGGCACTGGCTGCTTCCATGGACCCTGTCCACACCACATTCAGCCACAGGTCTATTGTTCCGCTCCGAGAGCGCTCAGGAATATAGAAGGCAGCCATCCAAATAGTGTTTATTCTGTCGGGTCTGGCCCTCTGCTCTGCCGTCTTCACCCTGGGCACGGTGGGCATGCGTGACCTGACCAGGGCTGGGGATGACGGTAGGAGGGGCAGGGATGAAGGAAGGCAGTGACAGCTGAGAACAGTCGGACGGACGGACGGACGGCGCACCTCAGCCTCCGGGGCGCTCCCAGCTCACGCCCCAGCCCCCCTCGTGCACTCTGGGAGTGAGGGACACTTTGGGTGTCTTGGAAGTGGACCACTGACGAGGGCTCTCACATCCCCAGTGAGGGCCAGGGAGAGAGCGTGGGGACAGTCCATGGGAGCCCGGCACTCACGGCCTCTGCGGCCAGCCTGGCTCCAGGTGGACAGATGGGCAGACAAACAGCCAGCCTGGTACACAGGGGCCTGCGCCAGGCATCACGGGAGGCGGACAACCGGGGCAGCGGCTGGCAGGGGGCGCTGGGCAGCACTGCAAGCTCAGAGCCACAAGCTTGGCCGTTGGCAGAGGAGGACAGAACATCGCCATTCCCAGGTTTGGAGCGGCGCCGTTAGGAACTGACCAGCGGCGGGCCGTGGTCGTGGCCACTCACAGGCGGTCCATTCGGAAGGTGTCCTCGGTGGCTGGGTCAGCTAGGACCATGTCAGGGTCATTCAACATGTGAAGCCCGTCCAGGGTCAGAGGGTCGATCTTCAGTTCATCCAGTGGGAACTGATGGTCCGAGTCAAAGCTAACGTCACTGACCCCTGCCAGGGAGCTGCTCAGTTCTTTAGAGAGGCTGGGGGGGGACTCTCCTGTCACTGTGGGGTGGGGAACAAATGATAATGCTCAGCCTTGGCTCCAGGGAACCGGATGTCAGGTTACACCTCCCACCAGTGTGAGGAGCGGGGGGGGGGGGGGCGTTCACACCAGGGCTAGCTCTGCAGGGGGCATCAGAGTACCTAGGGCCTTGTCAGGGCGGACACTGTGTGCACAGAGCATGGGCTGTCTCAGCCCTGAGTACAGGTGGAGACCAGATACCTAGAAAGCCACACGCTTGGTGGCAGACGGCAGTGTGACCTGCAGACACACACTCCTGACTCAGGGTCTGAGGTGCACACGTGGGTCATGGCTCCACGGTCACTCCCTGCCTGGCTGGTTCCCAGGCCTGGAGAGGAGAGTCACGGAGCCCACCCCACAAGCCACAGGGGTCCTGAGGATGAAGCCTCTACCCTGGGTGTGCCACAGTGCCCACAGGAGGGTGACTGTCCGCAATAGACCAAATCAAACAGAAAGCAACCCCTTCTTCAGAGAGTAGACGGAAAGGGAGACAGTGAGGAAGGCTCAGGGCTGCACCCTGGACATGGGGGTGGGGCTCTGTCAGCAAGTGATAGAGAGTAATGGGTTCAAATGTGACCAGCCTGGTCCTAACAGAAGGCTGTGGACACCCACCCTGTGGGTGATAACTCTCCCTGGCTGAAGACGGGGACACGAATCCACGTATGTGAGGAGACAGTTGGGTGGATGACTAGAGGCGGGGCGGAGCCCTCACCATGCTTGCAGTGGGATGCGGGGACCCAGCCTCACCCGTCACCTCTCTGGCAGGGTGGTCCGTGAGGACACTCTTCATGCCCCCGGGCTCCAGCCCCGAGTAACCCTCACCCGTGAGGATGATGTTGGGGATTCCTCCGTGGCCTGTGTAGCTGAGCTGCTGCGGGTCCTGCAGGCCTCCATGGCTCCCGCTCAGGCCCATCATGGCAGCCTGGGAGTAGTTCAGAGTGGAGCCTGGGCTGTACAGGCTGCTGGAGCTGATGGCGTTCTCCATCATGTTGAACTGCTCCAGCTATGAAGGGACCAAGAGAGGCCGTGAGGACGAGGGACAGGGACAGTTCCTCCCGCCCATGGCCCTGCTGGTGAGGTGACGGGTGGATGACAGGTGGGCAAATGAGACTCAAGGCTACCACCAAATGCTCCCAGGCTTCTCCCTCCAGCAGAGCCCACCGTGCCCCTGCACGGTGCTGGGAGCCCGCCCTCCTCTCCTGTGCCCTCAAAGTCCACTCTGCACGCTGCACACGGGGCAAGGAGGGTGTGGTCGTCCCCCTTGCCAGGGTCTTTGCTTCCACAACCCGACAGCAGGCCAGTGGTGAAGCCAAGGACGCCACACAGGCTCCCATGAGGCCTGGTCCTGTTGTGTGCGGCCCATAGGCCTGGGCACCCGCTCACCTGGCGGGACAGCGCATTGGCCTGCCTGGCTGTCATCTGCTGCTCATAGAATGCGTCCCCAAACACGCTGCCCAGGGTGGATGTGTGCTGCGGACAGAAAAGAGGCCTGCTGTGGTTGCAGCCTGAGACCCATGGGTGGGGTGATAAAGTCTGTGATCTCCACAGCCCAGCTGGGTGGGCTGAGACCCTGGGGCCTCGCAGAAGGTGGAGATCACTGGCAGTAATCTTGGGGTTCTTAGGGGGACATGCCCCAATGTTGGTTAATTGCTCCCTCCAATAACCACTCCCAGGGCCCCTGGAGCTTTCCAAAGCACTGCCCTACCCTGTCCCCAGAGCCTGGGATAGGAAACATCACTTCCTTCACAGGGGAGGAGGCAGGGACTGCAGGGAGGTGTTGGCTAACCCTGAAGCTGAGGACAAGCAGTGTGCACATGTTGTTTGGGATGTAGTATGCTCTTGGGGTGACATGGAGACTGCATAGGACATACTCTAGACGGCACAGCACACAGACAGGGACAAGTCACTGCCTACGGCTGCCTGCCTGGGAGACCCTGGGCTCTGTGGGGCACATGCCAAGGCTAGCTGGGCTTTCAGGGACAGCCAGGACAGAGGGAGCTCCCGTAGGCTACCCTGAGGACATGGCCTGGAGCGGGCTGGGACATGGACAGAAGGGCTTGGATGGCCATAAACGTGCTAAGTCACACCCAAAGCACCTAGTAGCCCAGCTAGAGTTACAGCTATCACAGGCCTGACAGGCCACCGAAGACGGGGACCCCTTTTCTGTGTGACAGAGTGGCTCAAAGAAGCCACCAGACCCCAGACACTCCTGAATGTGGTGTGCAGTGCAGATGCCCAGTGAGACTCTAGAAGACATGTCCACAGCCACAGCTTAGTGTGAGCCTCACCCAGGCAGACAGACCTCTCTCATGTCAGACCTTAGTGTGAGCCTCACCCAGGCAGAGACAGACCTCTCTCATGTCAGACCTTAGTGTGAGCCTCACCCAGGCAGAGACAGACCTCTCTCATGTCAGACCTCGATGCTCAAGAGCCACACCCTCACTTGCAGCTCAAGGTTTCATCCAAGGAGGGACAGGGACACTTTGGGGTGCTGGGGATGCTTCTGAGATGGTCTATTCTTTCCCAAAGCCTTGTGAAGCTGCCCTTGAAGAAAGCAATTCAGGGTGCTCAGGGGTGTGGCTTGAAGTCTAGCAGAGGACCAGGCCTGGTTGGACAGACATGGTCAGAGAGAATGAGAGGGCACACGGCCAAGGCCCCGTGGACACGTCTACGGAAGCCCAATAGGAGCCAGACGAGGTCTTGCCCAGGCACCTCTGCAGCCTCCTACTGGAGTCAGATACCACGAGTCCTGTCCTTACCAGCAAGAGACACTCCTTTCCATATCAGCAAATGACAGACACCAGACACACAAGCTGAATGAGACAGGGTGAGCGCCTGCCTGGACTAGGACAACCTACTTCCTTTTGGGACAAAGAACATCCCATAATTTTTTTTTCAGAGAAGTGTGCCCTGTGGACTCCTCCTCCATCTTGGCTGCCTCTCTGTGTCCCTGGAGCTCCAGAGTGGACTGAGAGGTCTCGACACCAGATGGGCAGTGATGAAGCAGATGAATGGCCACTGTCGTCATCTTTGATCCCCAGAAGCAAGGTTGCCCAGCGCTCCTGCCTGGCGCTCCTTCCAACTCTAGCCCGGAAGTTATTGTCCCTGTTCTGGGGTTGACTTTAGCGTCTGGGGCTTTACAAAGGTCAATAAAAGTCTCTCTGCCTAGTGACATTTTAGGGTGGGGTGGCCCCAGGATGGTGAGCCCCTAACAGGAGTTCTGCACAGAATGTGGGCCTGATGAGACTCAGCCACACCTCGACTCCTGAGTTAAGTACGGAACAGCAGGGCAGGGAGCCAGGGGCCAGACCTGGGCCTGGCAAGGACGTCTGGGATCTGGTGCTCACGCAGATGCACTGGGGAGGCTGATGCAAGGGGATTCAGAGTTTGAGGCCACTTAGGCTACATGGTGAATGAGGGGCTAGCCTGGGTTACATAAGACCCTGTCTCAAAGGTGCAACCCAAATAAAACAAAGCCTACACCAGCCAAGTGTGGTTCCCTACAGTCTGCTGTGTTGACAGTTGGATGCCAGGGTGGAGGCAGAGGCAGAGCAGACTGGCCGGTCACCTCAACTGTGCCCCACTAGGCTACCCTTCGACCTTCACAGGCCTTGGCGCTTCAGGCTCCCGGGACCTGTGAGCCACACTATGGGGCTGTTCTGTTACCCCACGAACCCTTAACTATGTGATGGGTAGCTTTGGGGCTATGGCTATCAATCATGTAACTAACTTCCATGCCCCGTCCTGTGTCCTGCCCCCTTGCACAGGTGGCCTGTTTGGTGGTGCACAGTCCTGTGCTGATGGGGGGACAGACGGTATGGAGTGGGTGACGCACAGGAGAGCACTGGGCACTGGGGGAAGACGGGGGTGGGGGTGGGGGGAGGGCGCGAGCGAGAAGTGCCGGGCAGGGGAGGCCTTACTTGTGGGGAGCTTCCAGGGGAGAAGCCTTGGTTGGAGACTGGAGACGTGGGAGACTGGTTGGCCGGTGAGCCTGCGCTCGTGCGGTACTGCAGAGCCTGTGCCTGTGGTGACAGATGGAGCAGGGTTGCTGACTTCTGCACTGGCCCAGCAAACCCCGGCCAATGCCTGCACCCTCAACAGTGGATGCCACGCAGGTGTCAGCCTTGAGCTCGGAGGTGGAGGACCTGACTGATGTAGCTTCCTGAGGGTGCATGGGGGGCAGCAGAGCCCTACTGGGGGCCCAGAGCAGAGACTCCTGTCTGATGCAAAGCCCTGGGCCTGTTCAGAGCCAACAGCGTTGGGCACAGCACACTCTGGGCACACTTGCACACCCACCTGACATGTTTGCACATCTGTAATGCACACACTCCTATGAGTATGCCACACAAACACGCACACAAATGCCACTCACTCCAACACCCCCACTCATGAACACACACAAACACCCACAAACACACTTGCACACACTACCTACATCCACACTCCCACACAAACATTCCACCCACAAAGACAGCTGCATACACCATAGCATGCACCTCTTACATGGACATATCCATGTGTGCACATCCATGGACACAGCCATCTTCACATACACCCACATGTCTCATCATGCACTGACACAATGCCTGCACACCTAGACACATGCACACACACATTACACACCTGCTGCATGCACCCTGCAGGTGTGCTGGAATTCACACGCAGGCCCTGCACACTGGGCGGGCACAGCAGCTTGGCAGGCCAGGGAGGACTGTGGCCTCCCTGCCTTAGCCACCTGCCTTAGCAGTGTGCACACTGGGGACACAGAGACTGTGGCGGGCACATGGCACACAGGGACCAGCCTGCCTAGGTCACACCCTCTGCCACCTGAGGAGTGGCTACCTCCTTGCCTGCTCAAGGCATTACCGGGCCCAGCATCCTCAGGGGCAGGTGATGCAGGGCAGGGCTGAACTCGGACCACCCTGCAGCCTGGAGGCTGTATATATCCAGTTTTCCTGGTCTCCCACTCTTGATGAGACTCAGCCTTCCAAGAGGATTCAGTGGCCTAGTGAGGCTGGGTGAAGTCAAGCCCGGATTTGGTACGGGAGGATGCGGAAGGAGGGACCAGCAAGGTCACACTGTGAGGCCAGCTTGGTCTCAGAGCTGGCAAGGGACGATGACTATGGAGAATCCGCATGAGTGGCAAGGCCGCCCAGTCCACTGTCCATGGAGGCCAGCAGTCCCTGGGATGGGCCAGGCTCTCTGGTTCTCTTTGTATAGCTGGAGAACAGTGCCACCTGTCCTTGCATGGGTTTTCCAGCCCCCCCTCCCCTGCAGATTCCCTCTGAGGCTCAGAGCCGCTTGGCTGCATGGCCTCCTAGTGGCTGGACCACCTGATCACCACGTTCAGGTCAGCGGCCTGGGCTGAAATGGAAAAATGGGAAAAGCTCACAGTGTTTCCAAATGGGTCCTGCCATGTGGTTGGACAGGGGTGGGACCTGTCACCCCCATGCCCAGGAAGGCATAGAGGTCAGGACTAAAGGGGTGCAGTCCAGCACCTCTCTCTTCAACCTGAATCTGGACCCCATGAGTCTCTCCCCTGCCTAGCCTCAGAGTGCAACCTAGTCCCGTCAGCAAGAGGGCAGCTGTGAGTAACCTTGAGTGGAGTCTGGGATTGGTGACCCTGTTTGTGCTCCCATTTCTCCAGCTATACACTTACAATCGTCTCAGCTTAAACAGTGCCAGCTGTGAGCCCCACTGAGTGCCCAGGGACCCCCCCAGGCTTACCGAGGTGGTGTCAATCCCCATTGGCGGCTGGCCAGGGTTCTCTGCAGGAGACTGGGGGAGAGTGGACGGTACAGTGACTGAGAGCGGAGGCAGCTGGGGCCCCCGCGTCAGGCTGGCACTGGGCAGCAGTGGACCACCCTGGGGGAGGCCCACAGACACCTGTGGGGGTGGTGGCTGCTGTTGGGACACAGGCGGAGGCGGAGGTGGTGGCTGGGGCTGTGGGGGAGGCTGCTGGGAGCCAGCCTGGGTGAAGAAGGCGTAGGGCAGCTGTTGTTCCAGGGACAGGGCGTCCATGGCCACGGCCTGCAGCAGAGACAAGGATGAGGAGGCGCTGGGCCTCGGTGCCTGCAGCGGCAGGGAGGGCTGAGGGTCTGACTCCCACAGCTAGCTCTCCCTAGAGCAAGGAGGCCACACTCAGTGAGGGTGGACCTTACCCAGGCAGGAAATAACAAAAATCTCTAATGGCATAAAAACAAACATAGAGACCCTGGGCACACACTTGTCATCCAGCGCTCGGGAGACTGAGGCAGGGGGATCGCTCTAAGTGTTCAGTCAGCCTAAGCTGCTGTCTCTGCCTCGTCACCCTGATACCCTTGTCCACTAAGTTAACGGGGATACAGGAGACGGGACCAGAAGGACAACGAGGTCAAGGTCTCTCTCAGCTCCTCAGTGGGGCATGAAGCTTGTCATAATAACAAACACAAATACTCCAAAATAAGCACCATAAAAACACTTGAGGTGTAGCCTGGCGTTGGTGGCGCACGCCTTTAATCCCAGCACTCAGGAGGCAGAGGCAGCGGATCTCTGAGCTTGAGGTCAGCCTGGTCTACAGAGCGAGTTCCAGGTCAGCCAGGGCTACACAGAGAAACCCCGTCTTGAAAAGCCAAAACCAACCAGCAAGCCCACAAACCCCTGATGTGTACAGGGTTTGTCTGAAACGTCCTTGATAAAGCCCAAGCAGGGCTGCAGGAATGAAAATGACAGCTGCTCTTACAGAGGATCTGGTTTAGGTCTCACACCCACATGGTGGCTCACAACCACCTCTGGTCTCCAAGGGAACCTGTACACGCATGGTGTACATAAACTCACTCAAACACACACACACACACACACACACACACACACACACACACACACACACACACACACGTAAAAATAAATAAACAGCTAAAACTGGTAAAAACAGGACCCAGACCCAGATCCTCCAGGCCAGGGGGAGACAAGGGCTGGTGGACTCCCATCTTCCCCACCCACCTCACCTGAGTGATGGGTGACAACGGGGACAGAGTGGGTGACACCTGCTGGGCCTGCTGCCGCCTGGCCTCTGTGCTCAGGGACAGGGGGCTGATGACTGCTGGCCGGTGCTGTGGAGAAGAGCCGGGGGTGTTCATGCCTATAAAGGAAGAAGGGGCTGAGGAGAGGCGGCCCACACGGGCACAGCCTAGCTGCTCAGAGAGAGTGGTCAAACCCAGGACGGGGCTTCAGCCCAGCAGCCCGCTTCCCTCTTGGCTTCAGTAGCTGAAGAGGGGTGTGTCTACAGCCCTGCCAATCAGCATGGAACTAACTGGAGCTATCTCGGGATCTCGGACATCATTCCTGGAAGTACTGCCCATCACTGGTAGAGGGGAGCTGTCATCCATAGAAGGCTAGGAACCCTACAGACCTCTGGTGGCAGGGAGAGTGGGCCTGTGTCCCTGCCCAGACACCACAATGTCTCCTGACTTTAGAAGAAAATACCCTCCCTATTGAAGCATATCTATAGTTATTTATTAAGATTTATTTATTTAATGTGTGTGTTTTGTCCAAATGTCTGTGTACCATGTGTGTGCTCAATGACTGTGAGGGACAAAAGAGGCCATTAAGTCCCCTGTAACTGGAGTTACGGATGGCTATGAGCCGTCATGGAGGTGCCAGGAACTAAACCTGGGTCCTCTGTAAGAACAGCAACTGCTCTTAATCACTGAGCCAACTCTGCAGCCCGTATGTATGTATGTATGCATGCATGTGTATTTTGTTTTTCTAGACAGGATTTCTCTCACAGAGAATCTCACAAGAACTGCCTGTCTCTGTCTCTGCCTCTCAGGTGCATGTGCTGCCACCGCCTGGCCCCTTTTTATATCCTCTCTCTCTCTCTCTCTCTCTCTCTCTCTCTCTCTCTCTCTCTCTCTCTCTCTCTATCTAGTTGGTTTTTCGAGACAGGGTTTCTCTGTATTGTTTTGGAGGCTGTCCTGGAACTCGCTTTTTAGACCAGGCTGGCCTTGAACTCACAGAGATCTGCCTGCCTCCTTGGTGCTGGGATTAAAGGCATGTGCCACCATTGCCCGGCTTTTTCTATTTATTTTTTGAGGTGGGTTTTGTGTAGCTCAGGCTGGTCTTAAGCTGGCTATGTAGTGAGAACGACTTTGGATTCCTGGGCCTCCTGCCTCTGAGTGCTGAGACCACACGTAGAAGCCAGCACGCCCAGCTTTTGCAGTACTAGGGACTGAGCCAAGGGCTCTGTGCACGGCAAGCCAACACTCTGAATGACGGCACCAAATGGGCTTCAAGCTCCCATGCTGTTACTATTGCTTACCACAGGGCTATCCTGGAACTCACTAGGTAGCCCAGGTTGGCCTTATTCTCAGAGCAATCTTCTTGCCTGTCTCCCAGGTCCCAGGCTGTGCCCTTTCTGGCCTGACTCAGGCAACTCCATCCTGAAGGCCTCTGTAAATCAGGGCCCTCCCCAAACATGTTAACCACCTATGAGCCGCATCCACACTTCTTCTCTTCAGGGTGATGGGGCTCCCCCTCTCCTACCGAGGCCGCCTGAACTGAAACCAGGTTCCTTCCCACTGCCCCAGCCCTGCCCCTGGGGGACACGCCCGCACCTGCTGAGGCCTGCTGCCCCTTTCTTCACCCCTTCCTGCCCCGAGGGTTCCGATCCCTGAATGTTGAGGTGATGAGGGACCTGGGTGAGACAGAGGGCACGGGCAGAGTGGGGCCTGCTGCCTCATCCTGGGCACCAAGCCAAGCAGGCAACGGGCTTCTTCCACGCCAGGGAGCCCTGAGGGCCTGCCCTTGACGCCCGCCCCTCCCCCATGCTCACAGCACACTCCTTCCTCATCAGGGGCCAGCAGATGTTAACAGTGCCCTCAGAGCCAGGTGAGCGTGCCAGAGTCACCAGGAGATACAGGGCCTGCCTGCTCTGCCTCCTGACTTTGTCCCCGAAGCTGGTGGGGGACAGCATGCCCAGGGGAGATGACAGGGCAAACCGACTTTGTGTCCGGGCAGCCTGCACTAACCCTCAGACCCTGGGGGCTCTGCTCCTACCCAGCACTGGGGTGGGTGGGGGCGGCTCCTCTGCTTCCGTGGCAGAGCTGGGGCACTGTCTGGGAGGCAGCGCTCGGCTCCCTTAGGGCTAGGACTCTGGGCGGCTGCCTTCCCTCCTGTGTCTGTCGGCTGAGAGACACCTGCCGCTCAGATCCAGAGCACAGGCAGAGCAACTGTAGTCCCAGGGACCCTACAGCCTCTTCTGACCTCCTAGGACACCAGGCACATACATGGTGCACAGACAGGCAAAACGTTCACACACGTAAAATAAATCTAAAACTAATTTAAAAAGAAGATGCGGAAGGCTGGGACTTGACTGAGTGTTTGGAGTTCAGCTGATAGAGCGCTTGCCTGGAGCACACAGGTTCTATTTCAGTCCCTGACACCTCACGCTTGGGAGATGGAGGCAGGAGGGTTAGGGGTTTGAGGTCATGCCTGACTACACAGCAAGCTCCAGTTCAGCCTGGGCTACATGAGACCCCCGTCTCCAAAAAAACAAAACAAAACAACAAAATCAGTGGGAGAGAGGTGGCGCTGGAGAGACGCTCTGTGGTAAGGACACGTGCTTTGGCGGTGGTGGCGCAGCCTTTAATCCCAACACTCGGGAGGCAGAGGCAGGTGGATTTCTGTGAGTTCCAGGCTAGGCTCCAAAGCTACAGAGAAACCGTCTCAACTCCCCCGTCCCAAAGAACACTCGCTGCTCTTGCAGAGGACCCAAGACCCTCTTCTAGCTTCAGCAGGCACGCGCGCACACGCACAGTGGGCTGCAGGAATCACACCGCCAGCTGGTGTGTTTAGCCCCCGGCTTCTGATCATAAACACAAAGACATTTTTAATCCTTGCCTAAGCACCACCACACCCAGAGAGGCCAGATGGGCAGGCAAACCACATGAGCACCCTGCTGGCGGGTTCCTCTGCCAGCCTGGGTCACCTATGGAGCAGAGCCAGCTGGAGGGGAAGTCTGGGCAGGGAGGGCAGGGCCGGCTGGCTAGGTGGCAGCGGCCTGACTCCAGCATGTAAGCCCGGCTGATGGAGCCTGTGATACAGCCAGCGGTAGACACTGGGTCAGCCTGTGCACTGGCTGTGGGGTAGGGAGGTGGGGACTGTCTGTGTCTTGATCAAAAAGGTGCCAAGAAAATGAAGTCTGTGAAGGGGAGTGGTTGGCGCGTATTTATTCCTGGGTAGGTTTAGTCACCGCAGCGGCCCAGCAACAGCGTCACACAAACTACTTTCCTGTACTTGTCTACGCTGCAATTGCAGCAGCTGAGGAGGGTGCTTGAGCAGGAGTAGAGGAGAAGACAAAGGTTTGGATGTGGCAGCCTCTGTGCAGGGCCAGGGCCCTTGCTCTAAGTTCCTGGACCCTCCCTGAGCCTTGGGCCTCGGTGCTGAGCGCTGGCAGGTCCATGACCAGCTATGAAGACTCACAGCCTGTGTGTGCTCAGAGCAGGCCGGCTCTCATGCTCGGGGTCCACCTGCTCACCTGGAAGCCTAGGGGAGGAGCCAGGGAGGCGTTACGTACGGCTCCGTGACAAAGGACCACTGCCACAGCTCTGTCTTTAGCGTCTATGCGGCAGACACAAGGCCCCGGGTCTTAGCCTCAGCATCCACCATCCACAAGATCCTCGTATCAACCTCAGGAAACGGAAGCACCCGGCTCTAAGGGCACCGTCCCAGCTGCTCTTCCCGATGTCAATGACAAGCATGGAGGTCCCTGGTCTTAACTCCCCCATCAATCCTGCCGCAGGGGTCACAGGGGTCACAGTGCTCTTTAGCAGCCCTTCCCCCAGGTCTGTAGAGCGGCTCCAGACAGAGCACCCCATCCTTCATGCGCCCCACCATCTGTCCTAACCCACGCTGCAACCACAGCACTGACAGATTGGGACCTGGTGTCCCACATCAGGGACAAGGGAGACACGGCTCACACTGAGGAGGCTGAAGAGGAGCAGAAGATGCTGGCTGAGCAGGGTCAGGCCTTTAAAGAGGACAGTCACAGCAGCTAGGAGACACAGTTTGTGTCAAGCTGGGAGCCAGGGAGATGCACAAGGAGAAGCTGGGGCGTGGAACAGGCCAAGGGGGAGAAAAAACCTTTTCAAAGGTGAGGGTGGCCTGGAGCATGGATTTCCCAGTGGTTAGAGCCCTGGCTGCTGGAGGAGCCCGGTTCAGCTCCCAGGATGCACACTGTGGCCCACAACCACCTGTGACTCCAAATCCAAGGACCCAGCGCCCCCTTCTGTTCTCAGAAAGTACTGTGCACACATGGTGTACAGCATACATGTGGGCAAAACACTCATACAGGTAAAATATAAAAAGAAAAAGAAGATGAACTTGGTAGGGCCAAGTCAGAGTGTCACTGGCAAACAAAGCCAAAGGTTTCAGGGATCCCTGCCGGCTCCCAGCGCTTCCCCGAGGCTGGGCCTGCACCGCACAGCCCTGAAGCTGCTTCTTGATTCCTGGAGGCAATGATCACATTCCTACTGGCTGTGCCCTGCAGGGCTCTGGGGACAGATGTGTCACCCCTAGACATAGCCCCCTGAACTCTTCATGCAGAGCATGCTGCTGTGGGGTGCGGGCAGATGGGGGTCTTACCCTGAGCAGTGCCGCTGACGCCGAGGTGTGCGAGGCTGCCGGTGCTGCCAGAGCTGGTGAGAGCAGGGAAGGCAGGCTCCTCGGGGTCCAGCGGTGTCGGGAGTGGGGAGGGGAAATGCGTGTTGCTGAGGTCAGGGAGGGAGCCCCCTGTGTTGTGGGGAGCGGGGATCAGGGCTGCCGTGCTCTCCTGCTCTGCAGATGGGAAGATGCTGGGGAGGCAGATGAGGGCAGGACATGAGGCTGGGACAGTGACTGGCTGGCCAGCCATGCCAGCCCAGGACAACGCAGTGGGGCAGGAGGGGACACAAAAAAGACCATCCCGCAGTGAGGGTGACTATGACAGCACCCCTGGCGGGGAGGAGAGCTGTCCACAGGGACAGGGACATGTTTGCCATCAAGTAACTGGTGGCATCTCATTTTCTCCCCTGCCAGCAGGTACAGGCTTGGACATGGAAAAGTCCTGGTAACAGAGGGTGCGGGGCCAGACTTACTTGATTCCAGGGACCTCGCAGGACTTGGGCCTGGAACCCGTCTGAAAGAGAGCAGAGCAGATGGCGGGTGCAGGCACGGCTGCCCGCGTGCTGAGCAGCCCTTCCGCTCCTGCCTTCCCGGCCAGCATCAGCAACCATGCGGTGCGGGGGTGGCTTGAGGAGCCCAGGGCAGAGCCAGCAGCTATAGCAGGTCTACGGGGAGGGACTTCTCACTCTCCCGGATCCCGAAGCTGCTCTTTTGGGTGGACATAGCTAGGGCCTTTGCTGAAGCCCCAAGCCGAGTTCTAGGTTGCAGCACTAGGCTGCCTGTGGGATCCTGGTCCTCTGGGAGCCAGGCTGCAGGCTAGAGCACAGACCGAGGGTGCAGGGCAGGAAGGCCGCGGCTGGAGGCTTCCCTGAGGGTGGCCTGTGACCAGCAGACTGGCTGTTTTATGGGAATTTGGCTGGGGAAGATTTGGGAAAGCTTTCTGAGCCGCAACATGGCTCAACCAGTAAAGAGCTTGCCACCATAGGCTGATGGTATGAGTTCAATTCCCAGGACCCACATGGCAGGAAAGACCCAACTAATCCTAAAGTTGTTCTCTTTCCTCCACACACACACACACACACACACAAGTACACGCTTGTGCACACACACATATACTCACATACACAATACATTTAAAAAATGTAATTAAAAAAGAGAAAGACAAGTAAGTGTTCCATGGACTCGGAAACCCTAACGGCTTTCTTAGCTGCGTGGCGAAGCCCCTGAGGTCTCTTGAATATATATTCATTCTGCTTCTATATTTTTATTTTGGCAAACTCATGTAGCCCAGGCCAGTTGCAAACTCCTGCTCCTCCTGCCTCAGCCTCAGGGTGCTGAGATGAGCATCATGCACACGAGATCAGTTGTGTGACAGGTCACGCCCACCCTGCTTCTTAACTGAGCCTACACGAATTTACAGCTGTTTGGATGGTCAGAAATTCTTTTCTTTTTTTTTTATTTAGGCTTTGGTTTGAGAAAAGGGTTCTCTGTGTAGCCCTGGCTGTCCTGAACTCTCTATGGAGACGTACCTAGCCTCAAAATCCATATGCCTCTACTACCTAGCTGGGATTAAAAGTGAGTAATACCATACCCAGCCAAATTATTTCTTTCTTCAGTGTTGGGAATGGAATCCATACATGCTAGGCAAGCATTCTACCCCTGAGCCACACCCCAGTGTCCCTTTTACTCTGAAATAAAAGGTTACTTTTTAAAGCATATTTTGCTTGCATGTGTGAACGAGCACCAGGTGTGCCCGGTGTCCATGAAGTCAGAAGAGGGCACTGGTCCCTTGGACCTCGGGTCACAGGTGACTGTAAGCACCTCTCTGTCTGTACCCTCTCCGTTTTTAACAAGTTATTATTTGTTAGCGTGTGCGTGGGAAGGGTGTGTGGAGGTCAGAGGACAACTTGAGGGAGCTGGTCCTCTCCTTCTGTCATGTGTCTCCTGGGGATGGAACTCGGTCCCCGGGCCTGGTGGCACCTTTGCCTGCAGAGCCCCCACCAGTCCTGCTTTTGCTTGGCTTTCTGAAGCTGGAGCAAGTGTCTGCCCTTGTCACCACTGTGACCAGCCATAGATGTTAAGACCCGGAGCTGTTTCTAGGCAGTCTGACAGGCCTGCTGTTGATGTCAAAACTTGGGTGCCTTGGCGACAATAGAGCCACAGCAACATGCCACCTACTCATTTGTTTCCAGGCTGGGTTTGAAACAGGCTGGCCCACCCAGCAGTTCTTACCTTCTTGGAGTCCCATGACTGCTTAGAAAGAGTCTTGTCTGTCTCGGATCTGGTCTCCTCCATGCCTGGGACGGCAAGCAGTAACACTGGGTGTGGGGGAAGACAAGGGTCAGGAAGACGCGATTACACAGTGGAGTCACCTCAGGGCCTCACGGACTGCAGCGCCCTAACAGCAAGCTGAGGGGTTTTACTGACACCGTGAAAGAGTCTAATGTCAACAAGAAAGCCCTGCCCAAGAGCTGTCAGCTAGTCACATAGCACAAAGAGCTGAGACGGCACTGAGAGCAGATACACACACACACACCACACACAGACACACACACCGACACACACCACACACACACACACACACAAACACACCACACACAGACACACACACCACACACACAGACACACACCACACACAAACACACCACACACAGACACAGACACACACACAGACACACCACACACACACACACACAGACACACCACACACACACACAAACACACCACACACAGACACAGACACACACACACAGGCCCAGCACTCACTGCCTAGGGGTGGTTCCTACAAAACACGTGTGTGTCATCAACACCAGCTCCAGCAGTCGCACCTGAGTAAGATTCTCTACAGCACCTGTCCTGCTACGGTCTGGTGACTTCATGGGACATGGGGGCCACCTGAGGGCGGGTTGCCTGGGTGCCTGGCATACCTCTCTTCTGATGTGCGTCCTGGGACCCGCCTGAGAGGGATTCTGCCTGGGTGGGTGTCATTGTGCTCTGGTGCAGGGCAGAGTCAGAGTTGGTCCTAGGGATAGAGAGAGATGGTGACACTCAGGCTTAGTCCCTACAAAGGTCCACAGGCAGCCTGTGTGGGTCATTCCACCAGCTGTGTGGTCACATGTCTGCCTGGACATCTCTGGGCTCAATTTTATTATGGGTAAAATGAACATGAAAACAGCTTACAGCCTAGGACTGTTTCTACAGGGTCTCATGTAGCCCAGGCTGGCCTCACACTCACTGATCTTCCTCTCTGTCTTCTCTTGAGGGCTAGGATCACATGGTGTGGCATGCGTGTAGGGTCAGCCTCCTGTGACAAGGGGTCTTTCCAGCCTGGCCTCCTCAGGACCCTCTGTGTACCCCAGGCTGCTCCGCCTGCCTCACTGAGTATGCTAGGCTTTCAGATGTGTGCTACTGTGTCTGAATCCACGTGGGTTACAGGATTTGAACTCAGGGCCTTGTGAGTCGCCACCCAGCTTTCAGTGCCCAGTTTTTTTTTTTCTTTTTAAAGAATTGTGATATTGTTTTGTTTTTTGAGACAGGGTTTCTTGGTAGCTTTGGAACAACCTGTCCTGGAACTTGCTCTATAGTCCAGGCTGGCCTTGAACTCACAGTTCCTGAGTGCTGGGATTAAAAGGAATGCGCCACCACTGCCCACTAGATTTATTTTTGTGTGCGCTGACTGTGTGAGTGTCTGCACCGTGTGCATGCCTGCTGTCCATGGAGGACAGAAGAGGGCGTCAGATCCCAGGACCTGGGGTTACAGATGGCTGTGAAGCACCATGTGGATGCTGGGATCAACCTGGGTCCTCTGGAAGAGCAGTCCATGCTCTTAGCTACCGAGCCGCCTCTCCCCAGCAGTTTTATGTGGCGCTGAGGATGGAACCCAGACTTTATGCATGCTAAGTGAGCAGTGTACCAACTGAACACCAAGCATTTCACAGCCCCATCCCAGCCTGGTTTGTTTTAAGAGAGTGTTAGCCAGGGAGGGTCCCAGTAACAGTGAAGACAGAAGTGTGAGGCCTACCTGAGGAGCACAGTGAGTAGCCACGTTTGACAAAGGTCGGGCCAGCAAGAGAGTGCAGAGGAGAAGAGAGCTTGCTGTTAAGTCTGATGGCCTAGGTGGTAGCCCTGAAACCCACGTGCTCTCCCCCACAAAGCCAGGTGTGGCAGCGCACACCTTTAATCCCAGCACGTGGGAGGCTGAGGCAGGAGGATCTCTGTGAGTTTGAGGCCAGCCTGGTCTACAGAGCGAGTTCCAGGATGGCCAGGGCTACAGAGAGAGGCACTGTCTCTAAACAAAACAGAAGAGGACCTGGGCCATAACTCAGTGGCCGAGTGCTCTCCCAGTACTCAGGTCTGGGGTATCATCCCTGGCACCACATAAACTGGGTGGATGACACAGGCCTCTTACTGCAGTGGTTAAGGCTTAGGCCAGGTGTTACATAAAGCTCATTCCCAGCTACATAGTAAGTCTGGGTTGGTGTAAATCCATGAGACCCTCCCTCAGAGTATGTTACTAAGTATCAACCCTATGAACTGTGTCCTTGGGAATCTGCTGGGCTCTGAGCCCACGTAGTTCAGATCTGACCAGCATCCCTCTGACACAACAGTGCAGTGTTGGCAGAGAACCTTCACACCCTCCTAAGATGTCAGTGATTCCAGGGGACAGGGCGCTGGATTTGATGCTCACACTGTGTGTAGTTACACTGTTTTTATTCCCAAGATTTACTTTATGTGAATGTGTGTGCGCATGCGGTTCCTTTGGAGACCAGACCCCTGGAGCTGGAGTTACAGGTTCCTGTGAACCAGCATATGGCGCCAGGACTCAAACCCAAGTCCTTGGCGGTTGAGCTTTCTCTGCAGTGCCTTTTTTGAGACAGGGTCTCACTGCGCAGTCCTGAATGGCCTGGAGCTCACAGAGATCTGCCTACCTCTGCCACCCACATGCTGGAGTGACAGTGGGGACCACATCCAGCCAATACCAATAAGCAGTAATCCCACAGCTTCCTTTTGTGGTCCTCAGGCGTGGTGCGTGTGCTTGCAACAGATCTACATCTCATTGCCAAAGACCACATAGATGTGTCTGAAAGGCTGCATCCATGGAGGGAACTGCAGGCTTGGTGGTGCACACTCTGTTCCCGAGGACCACTTCAGCCTGGTAATTTGCAGCCAGTCTGGGCTACAAAGTGAGAGGCTGTCTCATTAATAAAACAAGCAAGATACACCACTGACTATTCAATTCTGAAAAGAAATAAGCAATATAAGCCAGGCAGTGATGGTGCATGCCTTTAATCCTAGAACTTGGGAAGGCAGAGGCAGGAGGATCTCTGAGTTTGAGGCCAGCTGGGTCTACAGAGTGAGTTCCAGGACAGCCAGAGCTATACAGAGAAACCCTGTTTCAAAAACACAAACAAAAAGAAATATAGAAAAAGAGAGAGAGAAGAAAGGAGGAGGGGTTAGGAGCAGGAAGAGGAGGAGCAGGAAGAGGAGGAAAGGGGCAGGAGGAGGAGGAGTGAGAAGGAGGAGGGAGGAGAAGGGGGAGGGAGGAGGGGGAGGAGGAAGAGGAACAGGAAGAGGAAAGGAGCGGGAGGAGGAGTGAGAAGGAGGACGGAGGAGGGAGAAGGGGAGGGAGGAGGGGGAGGAGGAGAACAGGAGGAGGAAGGAGAACAGGAGGAGGAGGAGGAGGAGGAAGGGGAACAGGAGGAGGAAAGGGGCGGGGGGGAGGAGGAGGAGGAGGAGGAGGGAGAGTGGGGCTCTGAAGGCTCCTGAAGCCTTGCTCTCCACATCATGGCGAGAGTTGATGTTTGGAATCCTTTGGAAGCATCTGGCTCACTTGGTCCCTTTCCAGTGTCTGTGCCCTGCATCTCCACACACAAGTATGACAAACGTCTACACTGTTTCCTCCAGGAGTCAAGTGGCCCTGGCACTGACCTCCTCCAGCTGGTGTCCGCAGGAGGCGAGAGGTACACGGTGCCGTAGGGGCAGCTGTCAGCGTGTATGGGTTAAGGGAACTTCGGAGTGGGTTCTGACCCCTCCTGTGCCCGCATGGTGTGTCCACAGCACAGGAAGCCCGATGCACAGGCTGCTGGGGGCTGCTGGGAGTGGCCTGGGCTCCCAGCTTGTGGTTAGGCCTGCAGACAGCTGGCCAGGAGGGCAAGGGGTGTTTCCTGCCTGGCTGGAAGCAGCTGCTGGTGCAGGGGCTCCCAGGAGGGCCAGAACCCTTCACCTACAATTAGTACCACACTCCACACCATTCCAAGAGGATCCCAGGCCTCACACTGGGGCCCAGATGCTTCAGGGAGGCCAAATTCAAGTAACCTCTTCAATTGAGGTGGCACCCAGCACCAAAGGCTCAGGAGCAGGGAGCAGGGAGCTGTCTTGCAGAGCTGGGAGCAGGGAGCAGGGAGCTGTCTTGCAGAGTTGGGAGCAGGGCAAGAGTAACCTAAAGCCACTCTGGGGTGGGGATCTCACTGAGGCAGCCAAGATTGGAAGAGGACCCTGGCGGGCGTCCACCCTTCAAATAACAAAGGCCAACTGCATGTGTGGAGTCACCGTGGTGTCCATTTGGGTCTGGCTCTGTCTGCGGCCTTAACCACGGCTTCCACTTCCTGCAGCCCTTGAAGGCTGCGCCCCGGTCACTCCTTACGACCCAGTCCCTGTAGGTTGGAGCTACTCTTCTCAACTCTTCTCTGTCCCCTACCCCAGCTCTGACCCCAGCTCTGACCCCAGCGCACTGCCTATCTCCAGGCTGCCCCACTAGGTTCCTCCAATTTGGTGTCTACCTGTTCCCCAGCTCCCTCCCAATCCCAATACATCCTCTGCAAAAAGGATATCTGTCGCCCGTGCTTGTCAACTGACAGGGGCCGGCGGTGTGGGGAGCCAAGTCTACCCCTCTCACGATACACTCTGTCCACAAGCCCATGGTGTCGTGTGGTCCGACTCGTGTCCAGGCCTGAGGACTGAAACGGTGTCTGGAGAGAAGGACGGGTCAGGAATGGGGGTTAAAGGAGAGGGGATCCCCAAACCCAGGTCACTGGCTGAGGTCTGAGGTCAAAGTACTCCACAGGCTCCTCTTGCAGCCCAAGCTCTAGCTGAACCGTGTGGCTGGGGTGCAAACGCCGGCAGGGGATGTCCCAGGAAGGGCAGGAGGCATGTAGTGCAGCCTGCATGTTCAGGCCAGACTGGGCAGTACAAGCTTTGCCTGGGTGCCAGGGGTAGCTCTCCCCAGATGGCCAGGTGCAGACAGGCCTCCACCCTCTTTCCCCGGCCTGGACGGCCTCCTGTCCCCACCTACGTCATCTCTAGAGGGTCCTGCCAAGAGAGGCCCCCAGGGCTTCAAGCCCAGAGCTGCTTCGGGGCCCACCTGGCCCTGCACTTGCTCCCAGAGGATTGAGGCAGAGCCCAGAACTGCTCTGCATTGAGCCGTGGCCCCGCCTACCCCCTCTCCTGCTCCCACCCCCAGCATCTCAGTCAGGCGCCACTGGGAGCCAAGTACAGGCGCCTTCCGCCTTCCGGGGCTGTGGCCTGGCTGGCTGGGGATGCCACACCTGGGCTGGCACAAGGCTCCAGGCAAGCCTCAGAGTCCCCAAGGCTGCCAGAAGCCTGTCACCATGTTAGGGTGAACTCAAGTGCCTGTGCCAGCCCAGGACATGTCTTGTGCCCATGACTGCCTGGGTTCTTCTATCCCCAGGCAGAAAATAAAAGTCATTCTGATATTCAAACAGGCTTCCTGCTGGTGGTGGCTGGAGTGGCCACTTCTTTCTGTGCATCTGACTTCAGGGCTGAGTGGCCACTGCCAAATCTCTCTATGACCCAGAAAAACAGCTTGCTGTTAGAACTTTTCTGTAGTTTCCCCCATGGAAAGGTAGTGAGCCCCAAAGATGGCCATGAACCTCACCACAGGGCCTGGGGAAAGAAGAGGCCAGTCATCTCTGAGACATCTCTAACTCTAGGGGAAGCACATGTCCCAAGACGGGACACTGAGCAGATCTGCCTCGGTCGACGGAGGAAAGGGTCACACCCGAGAGCCATGGGGATCGTGCGGTACACCCAGTGCCCACAGATGGGTCAAGGTCTTATTATGGGCTGCTGCTGGGCAAGAACAGCCTCAGCCTGGGGCACAGTCACACCAAACTGTGTCTAGGGGTAGCCCCCAAAATTTACTGCACGGGAAATGCAAACCAACACCCTGAACTGTCTAGTGAGCACGTGTGCCTCGTGCAAATGTGGGCCCAGTAGGGTCCCCTGTGCCCTCAGATTGAAAAGTGCATTATGGTGACCGTGCAGGGTTGGAGTGCAGGGAGGAGGGGCTGGAAGGAAGAGAAAATGGAGGTCACCTGCCCCAGAAAGCCGGTGACTTCACTATGCCAAGCCCTGGAACTTCACAGGGTGAGGTCCCCCAGGGCTGAGCTAGCAGCCCCGAGCACAACCAGGTACAGGCTGCCTACCCAGCAGCCGCACTATCCCACTATTGAGAGGACGGGTGTGTGTGTGTGTGTGTGTGTGTGTGTGTGTGTGTGTGTGTGTGTGTGTGTGTGTGTGTGTGTGTGTGTGTGTGTGATGACTCCGGAGCCTGCCAGCCCTTGGGGACATGATTGTTCCCAGACCCTTGGTAGCACTGTGTTTGATGGCTGGAGGGCCCTGTCTGCACTCCCCCCCCCCTGCACTTCTCCTGAAGACTGGGGTCTGGGGAGAAGAACTAGCCCTTATCTACATTATTTTGACAGCAGCCTGTGGCCTGAGGGAGCCATGCGGGGCGTGCGGCTCTGCCAAGAGCGTCTGCAGACAAGTGGGGTCAGGCGGCAGGGGCTTCCTTCTGAGAGCTGCAGAGTGGTGAGGCGGCTGGAGCCAAGCCCCCGAGGCCCAGAGCTCTTCCGAGGCCTCAAAGCCTGCTGGCAGGTGCAGCAGCTGCTGAGTATTGTGAGCAGCGGGGTGGGGGTGGTGGGGGCTGACTCCAGGAGTCTGTGGAGCTCAGGGAACCTGGCTAGGCCGCCCCACCTCCTCCAGGCTCCGGGATATAAGAGAAGCAGTTGGAAAACAGCTCAGCCTGTGGGCCACCCAGCTGTCCCTAAGTCAGTGGCTGAAGGGGGCCAAGAATGGGACAAAGTTGAGACTTGGAGTATCACCCAGGAGAGGGGAAGTGCCAGGAGGACAGGGAGGCTCACCTGGAAGGAGAAATCCATGCTGCCACTTCCAATCTGGTTCACGTTGGGCAGGGACCCGCCATAGTACTGGCCGCGGCTGGGGCCCAGCTGCAGGTACTGGGACTTCTGCAGTTGAAGCTGGAGAAACAAAGCCACCAGCTGTCACCACGCAGGAGGGGACATGTTCTAAGAGAGCCCCTACAGAGAACCCAGGCACCCCGAAGGACGATGGGGACCCTGTGACTGAGACTCTGAAAGAGGCAGCAGCTACTGTGGATGGCGCTCCCTGAAGAAGCCCGTGAGCCTGTGGGGCGGTCACCTGGCTCACTCTGCTGGGAGCCCGGGGAAGCCTGACCAGAAATCACAGATATGCTAGCCACTGGGGAGCCTCCTTCAACGGTGGGACACCGGTTACCGATGTAGTACGTGTCCCAAGTCCCACAGGGCCGTGGGGCTGTCTGATCCTCCAGCCCTAGTCTGAGCACTAGGGATCCTGCATGCTCCCCCAGCTCCTTATGGCCCCAGGAAACAGGTACAGCCACACATCTGAGGAGTACACCTGCTGGTCTCCAGACCTACTCAGAATGAGGAGACGGCCTCTGAGAACTGTAGGGATAAGGGAAGCGTTTAACTGAGGGGGCATGGCACGTGTCCCCAGTGACCAGGGTCCTCAGTGTCGGGATGCAGTGGCCGGGTGGGCACATGGGAAAGGGGAAATCCTGTGTGCTCTGGCCGGGCCTGTGGTTGCTAGGGTCCCACACACACCCGGCGACCCAACATCCCGCCCCTCTCCCACGCCTGCCCTTGCTTCCTGAGGAGGCTTGGACACTGGAGAGGGAAACAGAACTCCAGCTGGCTGCACGCCGGGCCAAGCACGTCACCCAGGTGAACAGCTGTTTCCTGTGGGCTCACTGGAGGGAGATGAACGGGCCTGGCTCTTAGGTGCCTCTGTTGGGTCTGTACTGCGAGATGCCTGTGTTCTCAGTGAATGCCAGCTGGTCCCACCACAGCTCCCGACTGAGGGGGCTGGCCAGATGGCTCAGCAAGAAAAGCCATTTGCCTGATGGCCTGAGTTCAGTCCTCGAGTCCCAGGGAGGACTGACTCCCACAAGTTGTCCTCTGACCTCTGCAAACACTTTGTGTGAGATTCCACCCACACAAGTAAATGCAATTAAAATTATGAAACAAGCACCAGGCAGTGGTGGCAGTACACACCTTTAATCCCAGCACTCGGGAGGCAGAGGTAGGAGGATCTGTGTGAGTTCAAGGCCAGCCTGGTCTGCAGAGTGAGCTCCACGACAACCTCCAAAGCCACACAGAGACCCTGATTCAAAAAGAAAAGAAAAAGAGACAAGCCAGAACAGGGGTGCTTCCTGGCGCGAGGCCGGCGCAGCTCCTGTCGCCCACCTTGTCCAGGGCTGTGTCTCTCCTGCCCTCCTGGGTCCCACTGTCCCCACCCTGCACAAGCCTTGCTCTCCTGTGATGCCCAGGCTCGCCCACACGCTCAGCCCTGGGCCTTGCCACCGCCGCCCTGTATCCAGGCTAGTGTGGTGGGGACTCCACTGCCCCCAGGGCAGTCAGGCCCCGTGTCCCTTGTCCCCGGGTGACTTGGAGGCCTTCTGCACATCCTCCCTATCACAGTACCACTGCAGCAGGGTATGGGGGTGTACCTGTCACCCCAGCACTCAGGAAGCTGAGGCAGGAGGGGCAGGAGGTCAAGGTCAGTATCTTAAGTGTTTCTATTGCTGTGATGAGAAATCATGACGAAAAAGCAAACAGGGAAGGGAAGGGTTCCTGTGCTCACACTTGCACAGCTCTGCTCACCATGGAAGGGAAGGGTTCCTGTGCTCACACTTGCACAGCTCTGCTCACCATGGAAGGGAAGGGTTCCTGTGCTCACACTTGCACAGCTCTGCTCACACTTGCACAGCTCTGCTCACCATGGAAGGGAAGGGTTCCTGTGCTCACACTTGCACAGCTCTGCTCACCATGGATGGAGTCAGGACAGGAACTCACACAGGGCAGGCGCTGATGCAGGCCATGAGGGCGCTGCTTATTGGCTTGCTTCCCCTGGCTTGCTCAGCTGCTTTTTTATAGTACCCAGGACCACCAGGCCAGGGATGGAGCCTCCCACAATGGGTTGGGCCCTCCCCCGTCAATCACTAACTAAGGAAACACCCCACAGGCTTGTCCACAGCCAGATCTTAGGAGACATTTTCTCAGTTGAGGTCCCACGTCTCAGATGACTCCAGCTAGGATGACTAGTCTCAACTGCACGAGACTCTAACACAGTTCTTTGAAGCAGGGAACTCCGAGGCAACTCAGTAGAACAGCAGATCTCTCTATCAGTTTAACCTCCACGGGGGAACCTGGCAGTGTGGACGTGGACAATGGTTGAAGACCGAGGTCTCTCCTTCACAATGGGAAGCCCCACAGCTCCCCTTCAGAGCAACAATGGCAGCACCAAGAGGAAGCTCACAGCTTGACAGCAATGCTGAGCCACCAAGAGCCTGGGGATCACCACAAATGGGCCAGCAATGCAACAAAGAACTCAAAACCCCAGTGTCATCTTTCCTTTCTCTGAGACAGGGTTTCACTGTGTAGCCCTGGCTGTCCTTGAACGCAAAAAGATCCACCTGCTTCTTCCTCCTGAGTACTGGGATTAAAGGTGTGTGCCACCACCGCACTAAATAGATAGTTTTTAAGGAGTGTCACCATGTACATGCAGTGTCAAGGTCACTAAGGAGTGTCACCATGTACATGCAGCGTCAGGGTCACTTGTCATTAGCTTGACCTCTGAGGAAGCTGGACACTGGACACTGAAGTCACCCATGCTGGCAGTCACTCAGTCTGCAAGATTGACCTCCAACAAGAACCCAGACGCCCCGGCAGCATGGCTGTGTGGGCCGGCGCTCACTGGTTGGGCAGGCTAACCGTGCCCATGTGGTGTCTCGGGGATGGGACAACGGAAAGGCCTGTCCTTTGTCCCCAGGGCCATCCATCCACCCCGCAAAGGGCTTCCAGAGCCCTGAGCCTGCCGCACTCTGCTTCCGAGGAGCCACAGACGCCAGGGTGATGAGCATGAAGGAGCGAGCGAGTGAACGAGCACTCGGACGAAGACATGAGGGGGAGCGAGCGGCGCTCACGTGGACAGAAGCATGGCTGGATGGCCCACTGCTCTCTTGGGGGCTGCCACCCAGGACAGCCCCTCAGAAGCCATGCTGCATCAAAAGCGGTGGTTTGAAACCTGTGGGTCAAAGCCCTCTAGGGGTCAAACAACCCTTTCCCAGGGGTCACAGAACAGATATTTACATCACGGTTCCTAACAGTTGCAAAATGACAGTAATGAAGCAGCAATGAAATACTTTTATACAACATGAGTGACGGTATTAAAGCAATGAAATACTTTTATACAACATGAGTGACGGTATTAAAGCAATGAGATACTTTTATACAACATGAGTGACGGTATTAAAGGGTCGTGGCATTAGGAGGGTTGAGAACCACTGATCTGAAGTTAACCCTGATCTGCAGGCTAAGCTGGCCACCTTGACAAGAGCAAGGCGTGTGGGCACTGGCACTGAGGGTCCTCCCAGGTGACACAGTCACCCCCACTGCCCGGGCAGAGCTCCCCCACACCCTCCCAGCTGCTAGCAGGGGGCCACACCACAGCATTCCTTCTCAGGTCCCATGGGTGCAGCCCTCTCCAAGGCTCTAGAGCCCACCTCGACAGAGGGTAGGCAGGCACCCACACAGACTTGCCCACTGCAGGAGGGCTGCCTCGGTCTTCTGAATGCTGACTTCACAGGTGTGTGCACCACAGAGAAAACCAGAAGACACTCCGTGCCGGGAGCCTTCCAAACTGAAGGACCCAGCGCTGGCCTGGTCACAGGCTCTGCTGGCAGCTGCCTCACCCCCAGCCACCCGTGGCTACCAGCTGCTCTGTACTCATGGGTCTTGACTGCCACAGAGTCCTTGAGACCCAGCAGCTGCTGTGTTCGGAACCAGACCGCGAGTACAGCCTGCAAGTGGGGTCTCACGTCCTGACCACTGGCTGCAGCCTTGGACTCTTCCAGAACGTCAGTCCCTGTCCACGCTGTCCATGCTGACCCTTCCAAGCAGTGCCTAAGCATGGAGTCAGGGTGTTAGGTACCCTGTGATGCTTTTCACCGCTGTTCTGTGATTAGGGATGGGTAGAGGAGCAGCCTGTCTCACGCTGTGGCCATGCTGGACACATCTCCGCAACATGGCATCTGGAGGGGGCAGCTAGATGGGCACCTGTCGTGTGTTCCCTAAGCCCATCCACCCCAGGACAAACCCCAGGCGAGCACCACAAGACTGGGTTACAACTCGAGTTGTCCAAGGGTGGTGAGCTGGGTGGCTTAAGTGCTGGCCTCCAGTCCCCTGGAGTCGGCTTCCTGCCCCATCGTCTTCTAAGACCTTAGGCAGCCTGGGCCTCAGGTCACAGCTGCAGTACCCACCCCATGATGCAGCCTTCTATGCCTCAGGCTCAGACCACGCCCACCTCCCTTGCCCTCACTCACACAGCACGACCTTCAGTATCTGCGGGTACCACATTCACCAGGCAGACAAAAAGATCACCCATCTTTCCAAGAACCCAGATTCCCATGATTCCCTAAATGCCACTGTGACAATTCCCAGAGACTCAACACTACCTCATGTCAGAGAGACCCGAGTACTCCTGGAGTTCTGTGTCCACAGAGCCCCTGGCACCCAACCCCCACAGATACCAAGGGGTGATGAACCAGCCCCTGCATCTCACCTTAATTGAGGGAGGACTCTTTTTAAAAACATGTATTTTAGCAGGAGGTGATGGCACACGCTTTTAATCACAGCACTTAGGAGGTGGATCTCTGTGAGTTTGAGGCTAGCCCGATCTATAGAGCAAGTTCCAGGACAGCTGAGACTACCCAAAGAAACCCTCACAAAAACCAAACCATTTTGTGTGTGTGTGTGTGTGTGTGTGTGTGTGTGCGCGCGCGCACATGTGTAGACATACATACATAAGTACATACATATCTTTTTGAGACAGGGTGTTTTGTAGATCAGGCTGGCTTCAAACTTAGAGATCCGCCTGCCTCTGCCTCTGAGTGCTGGGATTAAAGGTGTGTGCCACC